CATAGTTCGATCTTATATTTGAGATCGTCTTAAGTTCGAGCTTGAAATGCTACGCTATTTGATTGGTTGAATGAGGTCTTAAGTCAACCTCCAAGCAGACTTAAGACGATCTTAAATATAAGATCGAACTATGAATACCGGCCAAACATACTTTCTTTCACTCTAACTAATTGCACTAGTGCAGCAGTGCAGCTAAAACGAACAGACCCAATAAAGGCTATAGGCTGCAGCACACACTTTTGCATAAGCGCATAACCATAAGCATAAAAAAATTGATTGGTTCATTTTCTTATGCATATACTTGGGTACCAATCAATTTCCTTATGCTTCTGGTTATGCGCTTATGCAAAAGTGTGTGCTGTGGCCTTAAGGCCGCAGCACACACTTTTTGCATAAGTGCATAACCATAAGCATAAGAAAATTGATTGGTTCATTTTCTTATGCATATACTTGGGGACCAATCAATTTCCTTATGCTTATGGTTATGCGCTTATGCAAAAGTGTGTGCTGCGGCCTTTATAGCACACACTTTCCATAAGCCATAACAGTAAGGTTTCGACCAATCGCGTTGCTCAATTTAGTTACGGACGGCCAAATTGAGCAACGCGATTGGTCGAAACCTTATGGTGCGGTCCCATGATACGGAACGTATGCGCAATGCGGAATTGGCGGAACGAAGTTCGTCCAATCACAAACATTCCGTCAATTGCGTTCCGTTGAAATATATTTTCTTAAGGTGGAATTTCATTGACGCTAAAAAGTAGCGTCAACCATTGGTTGAACAAAGAAGTAAGTAGTTGCTTCTTTGTTCAACCAATGGTTGACGCTACTTTTTAGCGTCAATGAAATTGCACCTTTATGTCACATGGAGCGGAAAACGCGGAAACGCAATTGGTGTTGGCCAATCACAAGATTCTTTCCCATAGATTTTTTTGTTGTCTATATCGGAACAGCGTACATTATTGGCTCGCGCAAATTACGCTTCCGTATTTTCCGCTGCATGGGACATAGGAAATACAAATTTATGCGGATCGGATTCACACATATATGTCAAAAAATTCATGAATTTCATATATAACTTTCAAAACTGACAACAACTTAATATTGAATATGGATTCTGAAAAATTGTTTATTATTATTTGTGGATTGTTAAGTAAATTAAAACAAAGTTGGTGTATATTTAAAAAGAATGAATTATAAAATTCGCCGTAAGATTATAAAATTCGCCGTAAGATTATAAAATTATATTCATTGTATATAATTGTAAAAAAAAATGAAAATATTAAAAAATGACGAAAATATTGGATGCGACCTATATTCAGCTTAGAAAGAAGATTCCAACAAGGAGCAAGTGAGAATCTTGTAAAGGAAATGCTGATCGAAGACACAGAAAAATATATGGATTATTTTAGAATGGCACCTCAATTATTTGACGCATTATTAGCATTAGTTGGACCATTCCTTGTTACACTCTTATTTAAAATATTTTTTAATAATATTTTTACGGATATCTGCTGTTTCGACATTTTTCATCATACACACAATTTCGAAGTTCCGCACAAAATGTGTATAAAATAGAAACTTGCGGATAGAAATCGGCGGAACAGACATAAAACAGGTTAAACCAATCACGAGCGTTCCGCCAATTCCGCATTGCGCATACGTTCCGTATCATGGGACCGCACCATTACTGTTATGTCTTAAGGCCTTTGCACGTACAAAAATTTTAGTCGTAATCGTAAGGTCATAAGAAAACCAAGTCCCGATCTACAATAGGTAATTTAAGCCCTAAGCCTTAAGAAATTGACCAATTACAGTCGAGTATTCTCTTCATACTTGACTGTGATTGATCAATCTCCTAAGGCTTAAAGCTTAAATTGCCTATTGTAGATCCGGCCTAATCAATCACAGTTGATTAGTCTTTTATCGCAGAAAGAATACTCGACTATGATTTGTCAGTTTTCTTACGGTAATCATGATTGGACAATTTGCTTACGACTTACGACTTATGACTCATTGTAGAATGGGCCTAAAGGTGCTGTCACATGGCAGTCGGATTTTCGGAAAACGGAATCTCGGAAAAGTACTAAAATATTAGAAATAGAAATTAAACGAGATTGAATTTTTATTTTTATAAAAAGAATTTTATTGTTAATAAATAATTGTTTGGTAAATATTTATTAATGTACATACAAATACTTAATCAAAATATTTTATCATATAAAAGAGTTATCATATTGTCAAGAATAAAAGTTGCGTGTTTGTCGGTTCGCTTTTTTTGTGGCTGAGCTCCCCATAGACTAATATTTCGGAGCATTTCGGAAATTAGTAAAAATATAAAAATTTATTTTGATAGTTTTCCGACCAAAAAAATATTTACACAATAGAAAAATATATAAAAAAGTGACATTTGTATATATTGTTTATTATAACAGAAAATAATAAAGAAATTTTCTAAATTGGAAAACAATTTGAGGTTAGAATAAAGCGGCCTTTTCATTGACGCTAAAAACCAGCGGCAAATGGGGATCTAGTGACTAAATTTGCCGCTTGTCTTAATGGAGGGAGAAGTAGCGGCAAAACATGCGAGACAAACATACTTTCTTTCACCATAACTAATTGCACTAGTGTAACAGTGCAGCTAAAAAGAACAGATCCACAATTACAAATTACTACACTTGAATTTTGCGACACGCTGAAAAAGTTGAAACTGTCTGTTTATAACCATGGACGTAAGAAATACAGGACAGAGGCCCGGTTCCATAACTCGAGTTAATCCGAGTTTAATACGTTAAACTGGCTCCTGATTGGTCCATTCACTACTTATACTCAGATTAACTGGATTGTGGAACTGGACCAGAGTGTATTGCTGCGGGGGTGAAGCTCCAAGGGATTGCCCGATTAGACACAGCCAATCATATCGACCGATGCCTAGGGTAACCAGCACGATCAAACACGATTAGCCAATCAAAGCCAGTTGTGTCTAATTGTACTATGTTTAATCGGAGATGTCTCAAGCTCAAAGAGTGAGGGGAAAGAAATGTCTACTGCAACGGAATATGAGGCATGTAAGATGGCGACGGATATTAATTTCACGGAGTGTGATATTTTTGAATTCCTTAATATTCAGAAATGATTCGAATTCGGAATAAGACAACGATTTCAGATGATAAATGATTTCACGGAATCTCTCATATTTTATTCAATTTACGTCCGTGCGACGTGAAAATAGACCTACATCTGAAGCATCTAAGATGGCCGCGACAATAAACCCCTTACCCCTCAGGCTTTACTCCCCTCGTCTAAAAGAGTATTTTATGCTCTGTCCTGTATTTCTTACGTCTATGGTTTATAACGAAGATTATAAAATGATCGACCAATCAAAATTTATTAGACGAAGACAGAAATCGTTCCAAAGCGGATGGCACCCGATTGACCACGTCGCCAATTGGCCAATTCAAAATAGGACTCTCTGATTGGTTAATCGTTGCTGGTTACCCTAGGCACAGGTCGATATAATTGGCTGTGGTCAATTGCAACGTGGTCAAACGGGACGCTCCCTTCCAAAGCAACCTGTCCTTTTCTTTCGATGTCCCGGGCGCTAACAAAGGCAGTGCACATTCCAGTATGGTATAGAGTTCACTGCTTACGCCTTACAATCTTATGCTACGGTCATCGTAGAATGGCCTTAAAGGCCGCAGCACACACTTTTGCATAAACGCATAACCATAAGCATAAGAAAATTGATTGGTTCATTTTCTTATGCATATACTTGGGGACCAATCAATTTCCTTATGCTTATGGTTATGCGCTTATGCAAAAGTGTGTGCTGCGGCCTTAAAGGTTTTAGCACACACTTTCCATAAGACATAACAGTAAGGTTTCGACCAATCGCGTTGCTCAATTTGGCCGTCCGTAATCAAATGAAAGTGTGTACTATAGCCTTTACGCTGCATGTGACGGCACCCTCTATCTTTTGAATATATGGTTACATTCAAAAGAACGGCTGTGATTGGTCAATATCGTCTAGTAAACTACCCTCGAGCGATTGAACCCGACAAATCGAAAACGCTATCAGAATATGAACCATAAGCTGCGTTCCAAAATTCACTGCTAGTACTAAAAATCTATAGTTTAAGGTCATTCTACAATGGCCATAGCATAAGATTGTAAGGCGTAAGACTCAAGAAATTGATCAATCACAGTCAAGTATTAAGAGAATACTCAACTGTGATTGGTCAATTTTTTGAGTCTTACAACCTTATGCTACGGCCATTGTAGAATGTCCTTTAAGCGTCGTCTACAATGGCAATAGGATTAATGGATTAAAGCTGTAACTCGAGAAATTGACGACCAATCACAATCGAGTATTCTCTTAATGTTTGACTGTGATTGGTCAATTCCTTAAGTTATAACTTTAATCCATTAATTCTACTGCCATTGTAGATGACGTGTTAAGGCCCGTCTACAATGGCAGTATCAGTAGGTCGTAGCAGTTGTAAACGAAATGAACTAAATCCATTTCCTACGGCTACGATGTATGTTCTACGGCGAACGCGCAATCAGAATTAAAAACGCAGAATTCTTCCGTGACTGCGTATGCGCAACCGCCGTAGAACTCACGAAATCCGTAGGAAATGAATATGGTTCATTTCGCTTACAACTGCTACGACCTACTGATACTGCCATTGTAGACGGGCCTTTACGTGATGTACACTCTAGATTTTCAGTACTGGCAATGAACTGAATTTTGGAACACAGCCTAAAGGCCGCAGGTCCCATTGGTCCCCAAGTATGTGCATAAGAAAAAGATCCAATCAATTTTCTTATGCTTATGGTTATGCGCTTATGTTAAAGTATGTGCTGCGGCCTATAGAGTTCGTACTCAATGATCATTCTACTGCAAAAAGTGTATTTTAGAACGCAACCCAGTATGTTCATAAACAGTCCATTTACGTAGAATCATTTCCCGCGACGCTTCACGAAAGATATCAAGAGTTTCTCTGTTCGGGGGACTACGTTTCGGCGATTTCCAATCGCTGTCGCTCGCCGGTTCGCTCGCCGGTCATCATTATTCGAATTCGTCGTGGAGTAAGGTTGGAACTTACAAAGACATTACGCCAACAGAAACGTACACTCGTGTACGTTCGCGCGAAATGTATCGTCGTTCAAGATTTCGCGCGACAGTCCTAAGCAACGGACAAGCGACAAGACGCTCGCATTCGCTTGTCACCAGTTGTGTATCGAAATTAAATCCACAGCGGCAGCAGCATCAACAACACCAACAACAGCAACACCAAAACCAGCAGTAGTAGTCATAATAGTGCCCTCCTGACCATCCACCATACCGCCATTGGATATCTCATCCGCTCGTAGCCCGCGGACTAACCTCCTTTCTCAGGACGGCTCTCAGGGCGAACCGTAGCACCAGTCGCTATGACAAAAGGTGGCATCACTGGGAACGTGTTGGAAACACGGACGGTACAGCGCTCATTCATATGACGCCATTTTACTAACCTTCCTCGTCGTGCCTACCGCGATTAGCGACAAGAAAGCAGCGTCGAGGCATTTTACCGCGGGCTACGCGTCGCGTTTCCACGCGGCCGATCGCATCGTTGCGCGAGTAATCGGCTCCACTTCACGTCCCGTGACAAGTAAGTACCAACGTGAATCGCGTCCCTTTCTCTCTCTGTCTCTTTCTCTCTCTTTCTCTCTCCCTCTTTCTCTACCCGCATGAGATCGCGGGAATTCGCTCGAGAGTCATCCTCGCGGGCGCGATTTCGTCGCCTCGTTTCTCGGAAACGCTCTCGTCGAGGATTATCGCGAGATCTTACGCGAGAGGGGAAAAAACAGATGGAGAGAGGTCACCGGCGATGTCACCACCTCGTCTCCTAATTGGTGCCTTAAATCGCATTTTCCTCTCGAGACTGGCGATCTTTGGACACCCTTAGACACGCGGCAAGATTTTCATGCGACAGATAATTTTAGCCTGATTTTTTTTTTCTTTTTTTTTTAAATTATGCCGAAATCTCGAGCATAAAATTAAGGGATTATTTCGACAAAACCGCCTACGCATTGTGTGCGCATTGCGACGCAATAATATGTACCTACGGTTTCAATTTTGATGTCAGAGTTATAAGATCTTCCAGTGAAAATGCATGAATAATGCAAGGCGGTTTCCATTTGTTTGTATTCAGGAAAATTTTAGTCGCAGACAACTTCAAGTTTGTATTCAGGAAAGCTTTAATCGCAGACAACTTCAAATTTGTATTCAGGAAAGCTTTAGTCGCAGACAACTTCAAGTTTGTATTCAGGAAAGCTTTAGTCGCAGACAACTTCAAGTTTGTACTTTAGTTACCTGAAATTTTTATGTTATTTCTTTTAATAGAAACTAAATGTATTTGTTGCCTTCTTATTGTTAATTGCGATTGTAATCATTTCTTAATTCTTTAGAGTCTAAAATTTAATTTGCCATTATTCTTAAATCTTACGCGTATGTATTTTGTACATCATATATAAAAATAAAAATAAAAATATATATTGCATATATGTAACGTACAATTGTTTGTTTCAGATATATCGCTATAATAGAGTTTGCATTATTATGGAAGATGAGGATGGAGAAAGTAGAATTCTAGATATGTGGAACATCTTGGAGGAACAACGACTCAAGGATTCGACACTCAGTAATGTATTAAGACATTCCATCGATGACGTATACACTGATGTAATTGAAGAGGAGAAACAGCTAATACGCTACAATTCGATCATAACGAAGGAATCGTCCGGTAGAAATACTGTGGCAAATCCGAAACTCACGTTCAAAGGCTTCAAGAAACGCATTCTAGCTCAGGCTCGAGACACCCACACCGCCAGCCCGAAGAATAGCACGTCGGAAACGCAACAGTCGACGCATCCTAATGCAAGGGTTAACAAGGACAAGAGAACAGAGGGGAAACGGGAGCGTAAGATAACAGAGTACGCTCAGTATTTGGGTCTTCAGCCGTCTGCGAGATACAAATGCTCCAAGTGTCATACGTGGTCCCTCTGTGGTCCCAATACGAAGCAAAACTCTTGCACCTGTAATTCTAGTATGACACCGATGCCGAGCACCTCCGAATCGAGTACTTCGATGTCGCACAGCGCCAGCAGCTTCAAGATCACGAGAAAGGTTTACCTGTGCGCGGCGTGTGGTACATATTTCGAAAACTGGAATTTATTTTTACACATGAGGGACATACACAAGCGTCACATATGCCTCTACTGCCTCGGCATGTTCGGCCAGGCGGAAAGGCTGTCGTATCACTTGATGAAGAAGCATAGCGTTCCAGAAATGGCGTTTACCTCGGTGGAGGATTTCTATAACGCTTTCAAAGGCTCGTGCTACCTGGTCTGTTGCAGCTGCGAAAGGGTTTTCTCGGAAACCGACGATTTCTTTAATCATTATTGTTCGCTCATGTTGAAACAGGATGCAACCGACACCGGCTCTTCGGTCTGTACTATATGCAGGCAGAGTGCGGGTACGCACGCGAGTACCTGCAGTTTCGCGTCGTCGTCGGATGCGGATAGAGATTTGTATAGCTCCGCGACGCCATTATCAGCCGATGCGACGCACGCGGATAACGCGTCGCCAGCGGCCATCCTTCCACCGGAAAAAACGACGAATCTTGGAGGTAAGGGACCACCGAGGAAAGCGATCAAACACAAGAGCAAGCATAGCGGAGGAGATGCGCAAAATTCCCGCCAACAAAAATCGACCGCGTCAACGAGGAAACTAGGAGCGAACACCCGATGTAACGAAAGCCAACTCGATCGCAGCCTCGATATCCAAAGAGAAATAACAAATAATTTACCTAGAGACACTGTTACCGAGACAATAATGGAGGTGTCCAGATACACGGGCGGCGATTCGTCTGACGAGAACGACGAGAATGACGAGCAAACGATGAATAAGGACGTGTGTAACAATCACGATAAGGAATCGAGAGAACCGTCACCGGTTCAAAATTATCAACTCGATCGCAACGAACCTTACGACAGCGTTACCGAGACCATCATGGAGGTGTCACGTTATACAGGTGAAGAAGATCAAAGCGAGAAGGAAAAGGACTCGACGTGTATCACAGATGAATGTACGTCGCGCACGATTGATGAGAAGATGAGTATCGAAAACAACGAAACGTGCGATAAAAGTGGTGATGTTGACTTGGTACGCTCGAGCAATTCAAAACCACCTAGTCCAGTACAGTGGGAAGCCGAGGATACCGCGATGGCGGATGCAAAGGCGAATGCTACGTGCGAACCTGAAATTGAGAGTGAATTTCGCTCATATGGCAGTCCGCAAAACGTACAAAGTCCTGTCGCTCGATCGCTATTTAGTCCCCAACACGAGTCGCACGCGTTAGATCCCAAAGAAAGAGAACATGTTGAGGATGTCGAGAAGGACGAAGAGGAGAAACCGGTTGCGACGTGCCCCGCTGAATCCCAAGCTTCGGTTTCGTTTAACACTGTTGCCAGTTCCGACAGGAGTTTGATCATCAAGATTTGTAACAGAAATTCGCAATTTAGCGTTGCAACGACCACCACGGCGAGCAAAAAGTCTGAGGAAAATAATAACGCCCAAGGATCGACGTCGAGGGACAAAATGTTAAACGGCTCGAAAATGGAGAGAGACATCAACGAGGGTGACGAAGCGAACAACGAATTGGATGACAGCGACTCCGACAGCGATAAACTGGCAGTAGTGGATAGCAATCCGGAAGAAGACGAAGAAGCGGAAGACGGTGAGGAGGCTGAAGAAGCGGACGAGGTCGAAGAACCTGAAGGTGACAAATGTAACGACGCGAGAGACGACGAGAATCAAAAGAATCAGGAGGAAAACGACGGAATCACAATTGAAACGAGTACCGATCGAGATACCTTTGCCATCGCGTCGATGCCGGGCGACGTTAGTATCGAGAAATTTGTTAACAATGAGGTCGAAGATGCGGCGAAAAGTGTCGCAAGCGACCAGCCGAAGAAGAGCGATACCACCGGTATCGATGGTGCTATTGCACTAGCCGGCGAGGACGCCCCATGCATCGACTTGAATGTCGAAGGTACCTTGGATAGTATGGATCTAGAGGAGCTGCTTAAACGTTGCATCGAGGCGGCCAGTCCTATCTGCGTTTATTGCAATCACGCTCGTCACATAGCCATCAACGGCAAGCAATTGGGCCTGCATATGCTGGCGGAGCACAAGTTTCAGCCACAGCATCCAGCAATCATCATTCAGATGGAGCAATTTACCGCACGGGTCAGGAAGTCCCTCGATGAACTCGAGTCCCGTTACTTCAACCTAAGCACGTATACCAGCGCAAACGGCACGTACAATGTACCGGCCATGCTGATATACGAGTGCTTTCACTGCAGATTCCACTCCGCGATACACAAGGAATTGTATCTGCACAACCGGAAGATGCACCAGAAAACCATACTGATCTGCATAATGTGCAAATCGACATTTTACAGTTACAGCGAGTTGCTGTGCCACCTGTGTCCCGGGATTTATTCGCCAAACGTGAACCTAAGGTACCGTTGCTGCCTCTGCTCAGTAGTGAGCCTCCCATCGGCGTTCCGGCTCATGGTGCACCTGCGTAAGCGTCATCACGTTTGCGACGTCTGTCTAGAGTCCACCGGCAATCAGCAGCGTCTCTCGAATCACGTGTGGAAGCACAAGCTACATCATTTGTGTTACAGATGCGGCATCGCGTACCGCAACAAACCAGACATCACGAAGCACCTGTTTTGGAAACACGGCACGGAGAGCGTTCTGTGCCGGAAGTGCCTGCAGAAGAAGTGGCCGCACATATATCACTTCTGTATACCACCCACGGCGTTCGTCTGCGAGGAATGCGGCTTAAGCTTCGGCCGCGCCGTGGCGCTCAAGGTGCACAAGAGGCTGCACTCGGGCGATTCGCCGTACGGTTGCGACGAGTGCACGGAACGCTTCATATCGCGAAAGCTCCTGGCCAAACATCAGGCAACTCACAGGGAATCAAAAGCAGAAAATATCGATGTCAATACGATGGATGTGGTTTATGCTCCAACCGTGGAAGGAGATGAGAAATCGGAGACGACGGCAGCGACGATTGACGGAGGCGCCGTGACGACGGGAGCCACGGGAGTCGATACCACGAAGAGCGTTAAAGAGGCTGTGAAAAAAGTTGTCGACGTTTACGATCTTCCTCCGCTTAACTTGTCGTCCGAAAGTGATACGGATAGCGAGGAACAGAAGGTTACTTCCGCGGAGAAATTGCCGGAGAAGGAAACAGTTACGAAGGAGACGACGGAAAAGAAAAGCGAGATCGCCGAAGAGCTCTTCACCGCCGTCGCCGATGATGCTGCTGCATTGAATAATGACATAGTCGAAATGGAACGGAACGAGGAAGAGAAAAAGCAGGAGGCACGCATTATGGATGATATATGGGACAACTTCAAGACATATGCCGCCAGTCTGGACGTGGAAGAATCCGCTAAGAACATTGCGTTGAAGGAAAGCGTGCCCGAGACCGATGCCGCGTATCTAAGAAGTATTATCTTCGCTGACCACGACTATTTCGTAGTCTATTCCGACAAGGAAAAAAGCGAGGATCAAGTGATTGCCAAAGTCGATGACATAAAGGACGAGCGCGACGGAGTCAAGTCTAAGAGGAGTCCATCACCCGGTACGCCGAACCATAATGCTGGATGCGACAGTGACGCGAACAAACGGAAGGTGAAGACCTCTAAGAAAAAGAAAAGAAGCGACAGTACATCGTCCACGAGTGATTCTTCGAGCGATTCCGATACGAGCAGCTCGAACTGCAGCTGCACTAGCTCTTCTTCCGGCAGCTCTTCTAGCTCTAGCAGCAGTTCCGACTCTGACAGCTCCACGTCTGAGAGTTCGCCCAGGAAACAATCGAGCAATCGTAAAGAAAAGCACAAGAAGGAGAGAGAAGTCGTGACAGAGGACAAATTGCAATCCGTTGAGCTAGAAAGCAAGCCGGAGATTATAATAGAGAAAGATCTAGTGGTTGCCGAGTTAACGAGCGAGCTTCCCACGATCGCAGCGAAGCCACTGCTGCGGGAATCCGACTTGGAAACCGAGGAGACCGAGACGGATGAGGATTTTTACGACGAGCACCCGCAATTGCTTGCTAATAAATTGCTGTCGGAGAAGCGCAATCAGTTGCTGTTATTAGCCGCGGTCGCGCCAGCATCGACATCAGTCCCAGCATTGACGCCAGTAATGGAACAACCATCGACACCACTCAACAATGGCATTTTGGGTACGGAACAAGCAGAGCCAGAGCTGATTATGATCAGCGAGGATCAGCAACCGCAACAGCAGCAAAAGAGAAAAATCAAGACAAAGAAACGACGGAAGGGCGAAAGAGGCGGGAAGCGCAACGCGACTGCTATGGAATCGATCAAGCTAAACATTCCCAAGGCGTATTACCGGAAAAATCCGGGATTCGTCACATCATCGCCAGCGATGCTACCTAATAGCAAGTCCTCGACACCGAATCAACTGTCGGCTGTTCCATACAACGACCATCATGGTGGGGTTGACGTCGCGATGGAGGTGATGCAGCAGCAGCAGCAACAAACATCATCCGTCATTGGCGTACCAAGTCAGCATATCGGTGCCGGTAGCTTGGAGACGGAGAATAAGAGAGTTTCGAAGAGGAAACGCGTGCCGAAGCGTTTTTATGGCGATTCGAGCGATGACGAGGACAAACAACCAGCGTTCAACAAGTGGCGGAAGACCTCTGCTAGTCCATCGACCTTCGCATCGCCACCGCCACCACCTACAGCGATGACATCGCCGAATCTGAAGCCGATTGTCCCAAGATATTCCCTGGGAGGCAAGACTGGAACGCAGACATATGGCAACAGGTCCCAGGTAATCCAGATGGAGCAGGCAGTCAGCCAGCAACAGGCAGTCCTATCCGAGGCGTTGCCACGCATTACGCCAACATCTGTCACGGAATCTGATGATCCTGCAGAGAGTAGCAGTGACAGCAGCGAGTCTGAGACGGAGGATAGCCAGGCAAGGATTCGTCGTAACAATCTGACGATGCCACCAACCATAAATGCGTCAGCGGCGGAGCGACCCGGCAAGATTTATTGTTATTGTCGCTGTCCATATGACGAAGTGTCAGAGATGATAGCTTGCGATGGCGAGGACTGCCGCATTGAATGGTTCCACTTTGAGTGCGTCGGTATAATGGTGCCACCCAAGGGCAAATGGTATTGTCCGGACTGTCGGAAGAAGCACGGCATCGTACAAAACAATGATGAGTATTGCGATTGATAGTGAGATGATAAACAGGACAATGATGATAGCGACTCATTACCAAATTCGATTGAAGAAGTTGTTGCTTTTAGGCGTAATGTTAGGATTTTCCTTTTTTCTCTTTTTCACAAGAAGGAAAAAAAAATACTACACTGTTCCATGTTGATATTTTTCTTAAGCCGATATGTAGACAATGTTTGTACATAATTGTGTAAATACGTCCTAGAGTTTGTAAGAATGAAAACATGAGGTTTTTGTGTACATTTTTTTGTATTTCTTTTAATGACGGCGCCATGTATAAATATATGAAGTAGACATGTAGATAGATAGATAGATAGACACTCAGAGACACAGGTAGAATAGATAGATAGGCGGATAAACAGGCTGATAGCGGGTAACGGTGCAAAACCGTAGAACCCTAACTTCGTGAGGGTAGGACAAGTATGTTCTACGAATTCAGAATTTGCATCCAATTAAGATTGTCGGCGTTTGCTGGAGATATTCGCCTTGATTCCAGCTATTCCCGTCACGATCGGACTCTCGCATATCTCTCTGTTAATTCGACAAAAACAAATCTAATGCTAAGTATACAGGGTGTCCCCGAACGTTCCAGCCAGACTTTGAGATCTAGGAGATAGGAAATTTAATTCTGAACAAAAAATTTCCTATAAACATGGGTCGAAAAATGCTTCCTTAAGAAGTTATCGCTCAAAAACCTCTGATGAAGGAAAAGCAAAAGATGAAAAGAAAATGAAACTAAATAAATTTCTTGAAAAACGTCTTTATTCATTTTCTACTATTACGTGCTATTACTAAAATATTAGTTAAAAAAAATTATTTTATTTTCATAAAAGAAAAAGATTTTTATTTTTATCGTTTTTTTCAACTTATAATCATTCAACTTTTTATAACTTCTTAAGGAAGCATTTTTTGACCCAAGTTTATCGGAAATTTTTTGTTCAGAATTAAATTTCCTATAAGATCTCAAAGTCTGGCTGGAATGTTCGGGACCACCCTGTATAATTGCCGTCTAGTTCTTTTTTTTCTGAAACTACGTTTTCTTGTCTTTCCCGCGCGCGGACGGTTTTATAAATTTTTAAATCTTTAAATTTATTAAGTTTGAGTCACATTATAATCGTTAACTGTTCTCTTTAACAACGGCTATGTTCAAAATGTCATATAGCGCTTCCTTAAAGCAGCTGTGCCTCTCGAAGGATGAATCTTTCCTTGCTTCTAGTCTACCATAAGGTAAAATTGAAGTGGAACATTATTCTCTTTCAGCAGCCGAAACAGCCCTTCCGTCGACAGTCTTGTCCACGTCTGACGTCGACTTGTGCCACGTCAAAAAAATCGATTACAGTCGCGTATTAACGCTTGTATCGCATCAGTGAAATTTGACAAACGTGTTGAATTAAATTAAATTGAAAAGCAGGCGCCATTCTTCGACCATAAAAATAATAATCGATTAATTATGAAAAATGATGCGCAGAAAGTACTATTAATATTAGAAACAACATGAGAGATCATAAAATGTTTACCGAAAATTTCGCTTTAAACAGTATTATAGGATGTATACAAGGGAACGTGTATTTCCATCGTGTTCATTTGTATGCATTTCTGAATATTCTTTGTATATACAAGATATTTCAAAAATTAAACAATCAAATTTTGCCAGTATATTTTATGAGTAGAAATAAGAAAAAAATATGATATAAACACAGGTCCAGAAACGTTTATTATTGTCAGGAAAGTTTATGTAATTTATTTTTTATTTTATTTTTAATTTAATTTTTATTTTTATTTTTTACTTCAAAATGCATCTCTCGTTTCTATTACAAGACATTGATAGCGCTTGAAAAATGAATTTATTACGAATTTCATATCTATTAACAACGAATCTTCGTTATTCATGTTTAATATCTTTGTTACAACATTTTATAACAAGTTAAGGCGTTTCTGTTTATATAACTTTTTTTCTACTCATATAAAATATACTGGCGAAGTTTAATTGTTTAACTTTGAAATACCCTGTATATACATATAAAGAACAAAGAATTTGGAAATGTATATACAGGGTCTACCAAAAGTGTGGAAACCCCTAAATATCTCGGAAAATATACGTTTTACAGAAAAGTGTTTCCAACAAAAGTTGTAGGGTTTAAGAAGATCTATATACTGATTCTATCAGTTTGACCTTGGATGGCGTCGTCAAGGTCAGGTCAAGGTCACATTGACTTTTTTAAATGACACCCCCTACATTTGATTGCATATTCTTATAGCTTAATTCAAGAGCTTTCCAAAACACTATAATAATGTTCATTTTTATTAAGTACTTTGCGAGTTATGAGGGTTGAAATAATTTCTTAATTTTACATAAACCATAAAATATCTAGTAAACCATTCATTTTTCGATTATCTTCATACTTTTATGTACAAAATAATGAAAGGAATCAATTGGTGTAAAGAAAACATACAGTTGTTTTTAAGAAAAAATATGGAATTGTTAATTGCAAATTACATATTTTTTCTTAGAAACAACTATGTGTTTTCTTTACACCAATTGATTCCTCTCATTAATTTGTACATAAAAGTATGAAGGTAAGATAATCGAAAAATGAATGGTTTACTAGATATTTTATGGTTTATGTAAAATTAAGAAATTATTTCAACCCTCATAACTCGCAAAGTACTTAATAAAAATGAACATTATTATAGTGTTTTGGAAAGCTCTTGAATTAAGCTATAAGAATATGCAATCAAATGTAGGGGGTGTCATTTAAAAAAGTCAATGTGACCTTGACCTGACCTTGACGACGCCATCCAAGGTCAAACTGATAGAATCAGTATATAGATCTTCTTAAACCCTACAACTTTTGTTGGAAACACTTTTCTGTAAAACGTATATTTTCCGAGATATTTAGGGGTTTCCACACTTTTGGTAGACCCTGTATATATATATATATATATATATATATATATATATATATATATACAGGGTGTCCCACCTAGAAGTGGCCACTTCCTTTTATCTTTTAAACTAAAAGAGATAGATCATAACAAATATATATGAAATGGCTTTAACTGAACTTTATTGTGAGTATAGTAGTTGATTACAAAATTTATCTGTATTAAAGAACGGAGAGATATGTATAATTTTTTTTATAATAATGTAGATATTTTAATATAATAAAAGTTGTAGCGCTGTTTGAAACGAATATAACGATGTATGATTTAATGTAAATATTTTACATATTATACGATTTTCCGGCTTGAAATATCGCGGGCGATGTTCACCATTTCATTTTCGGCCCTGCGATATAGCCAACTTCTGACTGAGTATCATGATTAAATGACAACATGACATATGTCAACCTCTAATGCACGAGTCAGAAGTTGGCTATATCGCAGAGCCGAAAATGAAATGGTGGATGTCGCCCGCGATATTTCAAACCGGAATATCTCGTATAATATGTAAAATATATTAAATCATACATCGTTATATTCGTTTCAAACAGCGCTACAACTTATTATATCAAAATATCTACATTATTATAAAAAATTATATATATCTCTCCGTTCTTTAATACAGATAAATTTTGTAATCAACCACTATACTCACAATAAAGTTCAGTTAAAGCCATTTAATTTCATATATATTTGTTATGGTCTATCTCTTTTAGTTTAAAAGATAAAAGGGGGTGGCCACTTCTAGGTGAGACATCCTGTATGTATATATATATATATATATATATATATATATATATATATATATATGTACATTTCCAAATTCTTTGTTCTTTATATGTATATACAGGGTATTTCAAAGTTAAACAATTAAACTTTGCCAGTATCTGCTCTCTCTCTCTCTCTCTCTCTCTCTCTCTCTCTCTCTCTCTCTCTCTCTCTCTCTCTCTCTCTCTCTCTCTCTCTCTCTCTCTCTCTCTCTCTGTGTGTGTGTATATATATGTGTATATATATATATATATATATATATATATATATATATATATACAGAGAGAGAGAGAGAGAGAGGGAACATGATGGATATACATTCTCCATAACTGATAATGCAACCAAAAAAATAATAGTTCTATGAAAAAATAAATTAAAAATATAAAATAATTTTTTTTACACCAGATTTCATTTCCAAGAGAATTGACTTGGAAAATTAATAACATGATTTTTAAGCTTAAATGACTTCTATAATTTGTATTGTACATTATCGAATTTTTCTCCTATAGTTATTAAAATATATATAAGGAGATATAACGTTTTCTTTATTAAAAAAATAAAATTTACTTATAAACACATTTTTCTTATATGCAATATTTCTTCGGTGTAAATTATTTTAAATTATTTTCTTAAATAGAATAAAATTGTATTTTTAGAATTGTATTTTTTACATGTATATAATAATTATGTACATAATAATTATTCTCGAGATGAAAAAATTCGAATATATAATATCACAAAATCATCAAAGATTATTGAAATTAAAAAAAAGAATACATAAATGTTTAAACTTTAAAGTGAATTTTCTTGAAAATAAAATCTTATAAAAAATTATAAAAATAATTATAATATTATAATACATATAAAATATAATTAAAATATTATAATTATAAAAAAATTTATTACATATTTTTTCGATTTATTTTCTCATGTAGAATTTTCATCAACCACGTTCGAACAAATTGGCAAGAATTTACAAGTTTTTATCAGCGGAAAGATTATAAATTTAGTACAAAATCTCTGCTAATTTTGATTATGTCGACAAACTATCAGCACGATTGTAATAGAGCCTGCTGACATAGGGCCTGAAAATAAAGATTATCGTAATCGTTGCCCATAAAGTCGTCAGCATAAATCGGAAATATGAATCAACGCACAATGATTAACATAAAGATCCAACGGATCTGGCATACATTATATTTTACATTATATTTATGTCAATTATACGTTGACTTACGTCTTTGATTTATGTTTATGATTCAGGACAACGAATACAATCTTTGTAAATTTTCCTCACTAGCCCTTACATATACACAAAGTTTCTCTATGGATATATGAAGCATAAACCGTTCACTTCGCCAAAGAAAGGATAACAATAAAAGAAATAATGATAACGGATTTTTCTCAGAGAAAAAAAAATAGTGAATTAAGTTACTACATCTTTTTTACTCGACCGAATACGTTTTATATACAATTCAAATTGAATAGGAATAGTTTGTGCTTCCTATGTCTATGATTGTCTCAAGAAGAAAGAACAATATTTTGAAAAATGATGGTATCAGTTATTAAAAAAATTATATTAATATTTAAAAAAATTATATTTATATTAATATAATTATAATTTATATTAAAAAATTATATTTATATTAATATTTAAAAAAATTATATTTATATTAATATTTTGAAAAATGATGGTATCAGTTATTAAAAAAATTAGTAAGATAATTTGACTATATTTTAAATAATTTTTGCGCACGAGAGTGAGATTATTTGCTACATGAGGATCATAAGGAGTGCTTTCTATTTAACGACACAAGCATTATTCTATTTTTATTTTCATTGCTGTTGAAAAAAGATAGATTGACACTTGTGTCATTAAATGCAAATCACCCATTATACATGATTCTCTTTTTATTTCTTTTTTCCCCCTTTTTTTATCTCCATTTTTCCTCTTTTCTCATCTTTTTCCTCTCTTTTTAATTAAAAAGATTAGTGCAAAAAGAATATAAATTGTTCCATTATAAGTGGAAAATATAAATCCGTTTGAGCAATAAATATATAGCTTGCTATTTACTTTCAATAAGTTTGTACCCTCTACCTTGGAAAAAGAGAAAGAGAAAACATAATCTGGTAAATATCGTTATTTCTTTTGTTGTGTTTACAAGCAATTTATGTTTCCGATGTTTACGAGTGCAAACAATTATTATTTGACTATCGTAGCTCTTGTAAGTGATGTTGTTTGAAAGATTAATGAATGCCATATATCTTCATAGTTGCGATTAATTATGCAGATATGATATTCAATATCAGACGCATTCATATGAAATTTTTTTTTATAATGATACCATCTTAAAATATTGATCTTTCCTTCATATATATATATATATATATATATATATATATATATATATATATATGTATGTATTTCAGTTATTGTATCTTTTTAACAAATTTCGAAGAAATGGATGATAGACAAAGTTCGACGGTCATTCTGCTGATATTTCTTCTTTTCTTTATTCTTTTAATAGTGTCTCTTTTAATTTTTATCTGACGTTTACAAGAAATAAATAGTTCCGGTCTTTGTTTTGAGCTTACTTCCAGTAACTTTCGTTTTATTCCTTACATCAATATATCCATAAAAAAATCCGTAGAATATCGCGATGCTACAGATAATTGTCGTGTTGGTTTCCTTGATTGCCAACTTTAGTTTCCTCCGGTGTTTCAATACCCATAATGTTCGTAGCAAAATCTTTGTAAGATATTCTCTGTATCATAACATAACAATACATTATTCTCGCGAAGCCTAATGACGTGTTTATCTTGTTTATTCTATATTTATACTGCCTATTTTTGCATATTGCTTCCCAACAAATTGGAGGAAATAATTACTGGCGGGAGAAAACGGAAATTGGAGAACACGTCTCTTTGCAATGGGCTCGATGGCTGACGAATCTTCGTCGTTTTCTCGTCAAAAGGCACGAGCAACTTAAGATATGTGTGTGCCTCTTCCAAAGTCAACGGTTCACCTATCACATATATATACATATAAATTGGAGAGACAAGTATTATTGAATACTGCAAGTGAAAATTGAATCATCTATTTTGAAAAAAAAATTCAATTTTATTAACATTATATACATTTAAAAAAAATTTCAATTTTATTAACACTTTATGTATTTAAAATTAATATAATGTTCGTAAGTTTTGAAATTTAGTATAAATTGTTACACTAATTAATATTCAAGGAACAATTATGTTCTTTTTAAATGGAAGCACGAGAAAAAATCAACTTAAGCAAACAGGTTAAATAAGAAATTTGACAGACTATTAATTTATATCAGAATACAGTCACTATGTAATAATATAAAATTATTAGATTATTTCATCACAGTTATCTTCAAGGTCAATTTTCAGATTGACAGAAGCACTTTTAGAAAAACCGTTTGATACAAAAGTTTCTTATTTTTTCATGTACAATTCGAATCTGTAATAAAAAGTACCATGTTCTCCTAAAAAAATTCAACTTCCGATCCGGATGGCGTACTTCCGGTCGAAATCAAAAGTTGAAAATATCACCATTTGATAGAACGTACCCGATTTACTTAAAAATTGTTCGCGATTTTTTATAAAAGCCATTTATTTTCATTTTAAAAGGGGTGTACGAGTGGTCTGGGACATCCTGTACATATATACAGGGTGGCCCCGAACGTTCCAGCCCGACTTTGAGATCTTATAAGAAATTTAATTCTGAATAAAAAATTTCCTATAAACATGAGTCGAAAAATACTTCCTTAAGAAGTTATCGCTCAAAAACCTCTGATGAAGGAAGAGCAAAAGGTGAAAAGAAAATGAAACTAAATAAATTTCTTGAAAAACGTCTTTATTCATTTTCTATTACGTGCTATTACTAAAATAGTTATTAGTATTAATTAAATAGTATTAGTTAAAAAAAATTATTTTATTTTCATAGAAGAAAAAGATTTTTATTTTTTATTTTTATCATTTTTTTCAAAGAAAATTTATTTAATTTTATTTTCTTTTCACCTTTTGCTCTTCCTTCAACAGAGGTTTTGAGCGATAATTTCTTAAGAAAGCATTTTTCGACCCATGTTTATCGGAAATTTTTTGTTCAGAATTAAATTTCCTATAAGATCTCAAAGTTTGGCTGGAACGTTCGGAGCCACCCTGTATATACATATTTTTGCAATGAACTACAGCACAGAACATTGCAAGGTAAAGTAACACGTAAAGAAATCAATGAATGGACTTGCCGATATTTTCACTGTCTTCCATCGAAGTCTTCGATGTTGCTCTACCGAGTAAAACGTCTATAAACTGTTCTCTTGTCAGAGTAGGATTTTCCATGTTGGTAAAACTCTCATCGATTAAAGTACCAAAAGCTTCCTTTATTTGACGTATGGTAAATCCGAACGCCGGTCGATGATTCACGTAGAGTCGCACGAATTCTTCGAAAGTGATTTTCTCGATACATTTATAGCGCACTTCCGTCATGATATTCTCTATCTTGAAAATAAATTTATATTTTAATAAACGCGAGAGAATCTTATAACATGACGTACACAAAAAAAAAAAAGATTTTCCGATAATCAATCAAGAAACAAAAGTTTATCATTCGCTTCAATATTAACAGATTTGGTTTTCAAAGATTTTTAATTTAAGGAATGCAAAAAAGAGGAGATATTTTGCAATTAAAAATTTTCCAAAAATGAAAAAAAATTATATAAATTATATAAATTAAAAAATTAATTCAATATTCTTAAAATCAGTTTGCCGCGCGTACGCATGTTATACAGACGAATGTGTACAGATACATTTTCAGAAAAGTTAGTAATTTTGTAAAAAGAAAAACCACCATATTCTGTTCTTCATTTTAAAATTATCACTTTGAATTTTATAAATACTGCAAAAGTCCTACGATATTATCAATGTAGCTTCAATGTTTCAAAAAAATTCATCCACGCGTTCAAAAACAGTTAACGTTTAAAATGTTAACTTATTTTTTAACCACTCTATATATATATATATATATATATATATATATATATATATACAGAGTGTCCCAAAAGTCCCGGACCGGTCGAATATTTCATAAACTATGCACTTTAGAAAGAAATGTTTCAGACAAAAGTTGTATAGCTTGAAGGGAGCCATCAGATAGTGGCAAGTGATTTCACATGGGAGAGTCATTTGAAAGTCACGTGAAGATCACCGTCAATTTCCTAAATGGTAAGATAATCGAAAAATGAATGTTTTACTAGATATTTTATGGTTTATGCAAAATTAAGAAATGATTTCAAGCCTCATAACTCGAAAAGTACTCAATGAAGAAATACTTTATTATAGTGTTTTGGAAAGCTTTCGAGATAAGCTACACGAATATGTAATAAAAAATAGGGAGTTCCATTTAAGAAATTGAAGGTGACTTTTACGTCACCTTCAAATGACTCTCCAAGATCAAATCATTGCCACTATCTGATGATGTCCTTCAAGCCATATAACTTTTGTCTGAAATATTTCTTTCTAAAGTGCATAGTTTATGAAATATTCGACCGGTCCGGGACTTTTGGGACACTGTATAATATTATATATTATACAACACGCACGCACACATATGCACACAGCATAACATAAAAAATACTTCTTTATTTGTCGGAAAATATCCAACAGCTCGCATAAGGTTTGGAATTTGCTCGATGACCACAGTATCGGAAATGATTCTGGCAGCAGTCGTATTTTCACCTTGATGCAATATTTGCGCATAATAGAATAGATCTTTCATTTCGTTTATCAGCGATTTTCTCTCGCCTTCGACGAGACAACGAAACGGTAAGAGTCCTTCTCCGCCTGATTGCGCCATTAAATCAACGGATCTAAGGAAAATAATTTTTAATTTTTCAACATAGTATCAAGACTCGCAATTAATAATTTTGCAGTCGGATTTGATGACGATGATGTCACATATATTTAACACACAAAAAGATTAAAATATTATAAATTTTAGGTTTAAAGTAAATGAATTTCTTCTATATCGTCTCACTCATGATATAAAAAGAGTTGTATCTGTACAAATTCTAACTAATCGTTATAAGATCTATTTTTATTGAACACATAAAGTTAAACTATATATGTATAGATCAAAGATAAATCTAATAAATATTATTTCTTACAATAATACATATAATATAGAAGTAATAAATAATAAGTTACCTATATGTGATATAAAACTATAATCATATGCATATCATACATATTGTTTTGCAATATTACAACAATAACAGAATATTATTGCAATATTACATTGTTATATATACAGGATGTCGCAAACTATCCGTATTAGCCGAATATCTCAAATCTGAGCGCGGCAGACAACAATATTTCAGACAAAAGTTGTAAAGAAAACACATAATTATTTCGAAGAAAAAATATGTAATTTGCAATTAACAATTACATTTTTTTTTTTTTAAACAATTATGTGTTTTCTTTAGACCAATTGATTCCTCTCATTATTTTGTATAAAAAAGTATTAAGATAAGATAATCGAAAAATGAATATTTTACTAGATATTTTATGATTTATATAAAATTAAGATATTACTTTAAGCCTCATAACTCGGAAAGTACTCAATGAAAAAATACTTTATTATAGTGTTTTGTTGGAAAGCTCTTGAGGCAAGCTACAAGAATATGTAAAAGTATATAGGGTATCCCATTTAAAAAGTTAGAGGTGACCTTCACGTGACCTTCAGGTGACTCTTCAAGATCAAATTAAAGGCATCATCTTATGTCTCCTTTCAAGCCATACAACTTTTGTCTGAAATATTTTTGTCTGCCGCGCTCAGTTTTTGAGATATTCGGCTGATTCGGGTGGTCTGCGACATCCTGTATATATTTCTTTATTCGCTATGTGGAGAAAAATCAGATTTTAAGTTGTATTTAATTACATTGTATTTTTTCACCATAAAATGGATACATAGAATACTAATATAAGATTGGAAATAGTTTTTTTATTTTAATTTCTAATAAAATCTCAATATATAAGAGATTCAAAATATTAAACAAATTATTTGAAATTAAAGTATATGGGAAATAATCAATTTTTACTATCTATTTAAAGCAAAATCTATTAAAAAATTTTTATATAAATTAAATTTCGAAAATTCTATAAATTATAGACACATATAAGTTATTTTATTTAGTTAATTGCCAACTCCATATTTGATTATTATGCTATAAATTAATTTTCAATATAAGTACAGATGTAACAACAATATATTATATTACATATTACATTTATAAATGAGAAATGACGATTAATTAATAACTTACTGTCAATACTTGTGCATATTATTTGTATCGTTTAATTGCTTTTACATAACATTAATATAATAATGCTTGATGAGAGGTTCTTTGTGAAAATTAATATTTTTGAGACGTTTTGTTACAAGCAAATAGAATGTATTTTTATTTTAATGACCATATATATATATATATATATATATATATATATATATATATAAAATATATGGCATTTCCAACTTTCTCTTAAAGTCAAAATTTGCAAACTGCGGCTACAATAAAGAACTAAAAGTCCGCATTGTTCATCGATATATACCAACCTGAGTTTAATTTTCCACATCAATATACATGGATCATTGTAACCTGTGGTAAAAAGTATTTCCTTGTTGTTGTTGACAGCGATATTTGTTATCTACAAACAAAGATACAGATGTATATATCTATATCTATATATATATATATATATATATATATATATATATAACATATAATAACAGATAATAACAGATATATAATACAGATATATAATACATATAATAACAGATAATAACAGATATATAATACAGATATATAATACATATAATAACAGATATATATGTATATATCTGTTATTTTGTAAAACTCAATATATATATATATATATATATATATATATGTGTGTATAGATAGCATCTACAGGCATTTAACTTTTCGTGGGTGTCCCATCATGCTGAGAATCTTATAAGGATTGCCGTCCAAAGGTAGTAACTGAAGACCAATTTCCTTATCGGTGGCGAATACCATATAATTATTATGGTTGACAAGTTTCTTCGTTAAGATCTGTCGATGTTGCAAAGATTTAAATACTTGAAATTCAATCAATATATTACGCTAATAAATTTATTATAAAGCAATCCAGTAAACACCAAATAACAGTTATATTAATTGTTAGTTATAATTTCCCACTCAATGATATAACTGTTACATGTTATATAACAGTTACATAATATATGGAAAGGAGGTTTCTCTGATAAATGAAATTCTTATTTTAAAAAAATTAAAGAAAGAAAGTTAATTAAATGCACAAATTTAGAAATGCGTTCGTAATTTTAATTTTTAATATTGCTTTGTAAAATATTTAACGATTATCTATTAAACAAACGTCAAGTGGAAAACGTCAAGTGGACTTTCTACCTCATATCAATACGACGGATTCCAACGCACATAATTAATACCTTTATTAAGGTATTTTGACACTAACAATAAATATAAATGAAAAACAGATCTATCTGCCACTAAATTTATGTAATTATTTACTGTCAGATGTTTCTCTTTATTTGGAATTTGTGTGTGTATCAATTAACTTACTATTAATCAATTACTTATGATTAAAATAACATTAGCGATAATAAAAAATGTAACGGCATTTTTGTAATATAATATCGGTATGATATTCTTTCAATTTCGATTAATCTAATTAAAATTGGTAGGTTCTGAAATCTATCTGAAGAATTTCTAAGATGTCGAAAATTTCAAAATATCTTAATTTCTTAACACACGCACACATACATTTAATATTTTTTAGCTATTTAACATGGTTGAAAATTTATTTATCATTATATCTATTTAGTATTATATCTAATATTTATTTATTATTATTTACTTATTGTTAGCAGAATATATCGAAAACATACACAGCAATTCTGAATGTATGTATGTATATATAAATATGTATATTTTGTGTATGTGTGTAAATATTTTGCCAGGTAAACAATGATAAATAAATATAATGTTGGTAAATAATGATAAATAAATTTTCAACCGTGTTAAATAGCTGAAAAAATATTAAAAATATATTACTAATTTTTCTATATACATATATTTCCTAATAACAAGTAATATAAAAAAAATAAAAAATTGATAGATAGATATTGAATTAAATATTAATTCAATTAATATACATATTAATCATTACTTATCGTTAATAATTATCATTTATTATTTAGCATCTATTATTATCATTGATAACACAGGACCATAAATTTTTTTTTTAATTGACACAAACTGAGATCACATGTACATACTATACGTATTTTGGGTCGCTGAAGACGAATCCGTTGGCTGTTTTTCCACCACGTCTAGGTTTTTTGTAAATTGCAAAGATGTATTAAATCATTTAAATACCATATACACATATTTAATTTGATTTTGTCTTTATTTTTACCGAGGACTTCGTGCCTCTTGTGAAAGAGACAGGGGGAAAGAGAGAGAGAAACTTCAGCGACTCAAAATACGTACAGTACCCGTCTAGTTTGTGTCAATTAAAAAAAAAAGAATTTGTGGTCCTGTGTAATTTATATTAATGTAATTTATATTAATTATAAAATTTTAATTAATATGTTTATATTATTAACCCTTTATCTGCAATCTGTATCTTTTTTGATACAAACGAAATATCTCTCATTTTTTCTTATGTTTCTGGAAATAAAGGAAGGACAAAATTCGATTCCGCCTTGTAAAAAAAACTTTGTTAATGCACTGAGAAAAAAAGTTGTTAACTTGTTCAATTACATTATCTTTGTAAATATACTAAAATGACGTAAGTATACTAAAATGACTAAATTGTTCAATTAAATTATCTTTGCAAGTATAAATAAATATGACATATTAACATAACATTTATTTAATTTAAATACGTAAATATTTCAATTTAAAAAATAATAATTTAGTTAAATCGTTTAATCAAGTTAACAACTTTTTTTCTCAGTATGGGATTTTACTTGCTAACGTCAGACACGATTATTTATCTTCGATCAGCATGGAAAATGGCGCACGTGGCACAAGTGATTACAGACGAAAAGTAATTAATTATCAAGTAATTGTGTTATTTACAAGCGTGTAATAACATTGTATCTGCAGAAAACAAATAGAAAAAATAAAATATTTTTAATTTTAATAATTTAAATAATTTTTAATTTTAATAATTTTATTATTAATTTTATTATTAATTTTTAATTTTAATAATTTTTATATTAATTTAATTTAAATTAAATTGAATTAATATAATTATTAATTAAATTATTAATATAATTATTAATTTTTGGGTTGCAATAGGTGATTGTAGAGGAATCCAAATTATTTAAATGTTAAGTAATTGATTAAATATTTAATTATTACACCGTATAAAAATAAAAAGAAAGCTCAAAGAAAGATCAAAAAATGCTCAGGAGTTTTCAGTTTGGATTGTTATCTGTGTGCTCCATATGTATGTTTGTTTAGATATATTTTATATATATATGAACTGATAACATATCATTATTTAGTTACATTATATTTATTACATTGCACAGCTATTTTTAAGGAATTAATTTTTTAATATTAGTTTAAAGCAGTATTTCACGGCTATTTTTAAAGAATTAATTTTTTTAACAACATTAGTTTAAAGTTAATTTAACAATTAAGAATTTTTAATTTTTTAAATCTATTTATTGCATATACAAATTTGGTGTGTGTTTTTTATTTTTTTTAGAAAGGTGTTTTTAGATATATAATTTTTCTAACTTTTGTCATATAATTTAAAGCTTTAATTGTAAAATGCATCTAGTACAGTAAAGTAGTATCTGAAAATGGCAAAACCCAATTTTTAGAGGGTGAATAAAAGATGAGTAAAAGGTCATAGGAGATCCCCGAATTCACAGAGTTTTAACAAAATTTCCCTGTGCGTCGGCGATCATTTTCAAAATAGAGGTAAGTTTAAATATCTCGACTCCTATTGGTTGAATTTTTTTCTTTTTTTTTAAATTTTGTAAGGAAAAATATTTATTACAACTTTTGTTTGAAAAATTTTTCAATAGCTATCAAGGAAATAAGTTACAACTAAAAAAGTGCCGTCAATTAGGGGTTGAACATTTTTATTGACAATTATATTGTCCCCCTATTGATTTTATCAAAAAAATATTCAAATAAAACTTGTAGAAGACTTAATTCGTTTTCGTATATCCGCTTTTGCGGTGAAAATTCGCCTAAACAAATCAGCATATCGTTCTAATCAAATAAAAATGTGCATTACTTGGAATTGTTGTACTGGTTCTCCAAAAATCGGTCCTAAATAAGTACCACAAATAGTCTTGGTAACATCGTTGAAGATCTTATATTTGTACTGCAATAAATAAATAAATAAATAAATAAATATATATATATATATATATATATATATATATATATACATACAGGGTGTCCCAAAACTCATAATCAATTTTTCAAAGACAGATTCCTGGAATCATCTGAAAACGATTTTTCCTCAACGAAAATGTCGAGGCACTAATACTTTTCGAATTGTAAATGATTGGAAATAAGGGGTTTTTAAACTAAGCTTTGTAGAAATAAAATATTAACAAAACTACATTCTTCGATTAATTTTAAATAAAGTTTACTTTAGTTGAGTTTTAATTTAAGGCTTAATTGCAAAGATATATGATGACAAAAATCGGAAACATGCAAAAAATGATGGCCTTCATCGTCATTTTTACTGAGGAAAAATCGTCTCCAAATGATCCCAGGAATCTGACTTTGAAAGATTGATTATGAGTTTTGGGACACCCTGTATGTATATATATATATATATATATATATATATATATACACATATATATATACAGAATATCGCAGAAGTGACTATCCCTTTTTATCTTTTAAATTAAAAAAGATAGATTATAACAAATATATATATTTAAAAAATTATGCATACTTCTCCGTTTGTTAACACAAATAGCGATTTTATGAACAATCGTTACACTCACAACCGAATTAATTTTGAACCATTTAATTTGACATATACAGGATGTAGACTTAACGAATCAGCTATTAATAGCAAACTCCTGAGATCATTTGGAGACGAAAATTCTAATACCAAACTGTTGAGAAAGACTTCATAAAAATGTTTAAATTACTGACTACTGTCGCTTTGAAGGCACAATCGTGCTCACTGCAGAATCCTATTTTTTATTTTATATTGATTTCTCTATTGATATCGATATTATCGCATTGTACGCGTGTCCCTGAGCACAGGAAAACGTAACATGCCGATTGGTAATCTTTAATCTTTTGTAGCGCCGAAACTATATCTTCCTCAACATTTTGGTATTAAGATTTTCGTTTCCAAATGATCTCAGGAATCTACCATTAACGGCTGATTTGTTAAGTCTGGGACACCTTGTATATGTTATGATCTGATCTCTTTTACTTTAAAAGATAAAAAGGAGTAGGCACTGTATAGGTAGGACACCCTGTATATATGTAAATTGAAGTATTATGTGTATATTTTGTTCATTTGATATTTGTAGGTAAATCAAGAAAGAGAGAGAGAGGAGAGAGAAAGCTGATTATTGAAGTATTTACTTCGGAATTTGAAATTATAAGGAATTTTCCAACATCGAATTTAGGATACCACGCTAGACAAAGAGGAATAGCACTCTGTTCGATTCTATCAATGCGCAAGATTTGAAGTCCCGGTATTGGATACGGTCCGCTGTAAACAAAATATAATACCAGACGGATTATAAGAATTACTCTTTATTAAGAAATATCTAGAATTTAAAACAAATCGATTAAATTAATGTTATTCTCGCGAACAATGGCATATTTATCCAATAAACAGTGCTATATAAACCCTTTGCACTCGGGCTAATTTTGTTATATGACCCAGCAAATTCAAGGCATTTTTTGTGATATCTTTGATAAACATTAAAAAATGTTATATGTTATATCAAATAAAAAAATTCTACTTTACTATCGTCATTGCTGTTCTCAGTATTATAAATAATTTCATTATAATTGATTGAAAAATAAATATTATAAATAAATAACATATAAAAAATAAATAAATAATATTATAAAAATAAATATTATAAATAATTTCATTATATTTTTATTGTAAAATATATGTAGCGGCGCCTACAAAGTACAAAGGATTAGTGTTATATGAACAAAATGGAATATTACATGTAACATAAGTATTACTGTCAAGTTACTAATTAATTATAATTTTCCATTCATAAATGTAACATGTAATATAACATATATTATATCGTTGTTAATTATTGTTAATTGCATATAGAATATTGATTATAAAAGGTGTCTCATTAAAAAAGTAGCTATTATAAACTTTTGCTTCAAATAAGCAGTAAACAGATAATTTTCCATTTATCTTATTGATTTCATTCAATTTAATATTCTAAATCTCATATTGTGCTTATATATTAGATATTAAAAATTAAAATAGAAAAAATTATTATACTTTTTTATTAGTAATCATAACTTGTAAACTTAATATCTATTTCTGACAGAAACTTAATTGCGAGAAAATACATCGCATATATTAGTGGTTAGCGAAGAAACTATCGAATCAAATGTTACGTCCTATGAAAGACTGGATTGTTGGAAGGCATATCAAATATTTGAGAAACTGATTTAAAACTTATGTATCAAATTAAATGTACTATCAGACTTAAAGAAGTTGGTCAACAACCAGGAGAATCGTTCTTACACGCTATATATTTCAGATATTCGCTCCTTTTTTGATAAAGAATCTTTATTACGGTTTTAACCCTTATTATTGTATTGGACGGAACAAGGAGGAGAGGTGGGCTAAGTGCGATTTTGGATTAGAGAAGCGAGACTGAAGTTAATTAATTAAATAAAATAAATAATTAAAATAAGGTTAATTAATTAAATAAAATAAATAAACTATTAAATTACATAATTTATTAAAAGTTACAATTTTTGAAAATTGTAGAATACTTTCTAATAGTAATAACTTAATTAAAATGTTAATTATTATTATTACTATTTAAATTATTATTTATGTATTAACGTATTATATATACAACTTGCGTTATATTTGTGTTATTATACATTATGTTATTGCTACAAATAGTTTATTTGGTAAATCAACCTGTGTTCAAGATCATATTCGATGAGCTCTCGATCCTTTCCCAATGAAAAAAATCGGGATGAACCAGCAGAATCGGTTGTAGACTGGCCGAAAAGTATATCTGTGATGGGTAGATAATGCGAGTGATATTTTCCAATCAGGTTCCACAGATGAAGCTCTTTCGAAGTGGCGATATCATTTTTTTTTAATACTACTACTGTCGACGCATCATCCTGAAAATAAAATCCTTAAAATAGATTTTACATTCGACATTACGACACGTCGACAAATTTTTCCTCACTGTGTAAGCCATATAATCGGCGCAATGGGCGAAAGCGATTTTATTGACAGCTACGGAAGAGTGCTTGTACGGAATCTCCTCTAAGGGGTCTAGCGTAATATGATGTAGAATCCAAATTGCTCCGTTCTCCAAACCACATGCCAGCATATCGCCTGTAGAAAAAGAAAAAAATAAATGCACTCTTCTACGCATTTCCTTTACTCGGAAAATTGGGAAATTCATCGTTATCGACATTTTGGCGAAAACTTTAAAGCTGTGACAGCTTTCGAAGACTCGTTGCTTTGCGGACAAGTGACGTAAATTATGTTCCCGTCGATTGTCTGTTTTTCGAGAATTGGTCGAAAATCTGGTAAGGGTGGCGTGCTCCTGAATATCATCAAAGAGCGCTCCTCGTGATTGTACAGGCGCACGATGCCTTGCATATCGCCCACGGCTATGTAATTGCTATAATTAAAATCAACAAATGTAATAGAAATATTAATTATTTTAAATATTTTAAAAATATAAAAGAAATAAATATAGAAAGTGAATATTTTTATCTTTATAGTTTTTATTATTTTTATTTTATTATTTTTATCTTTATTTTATCTTTATTTTTATCTTTTTTATCTTTATTTTTATCTTTATTTTATCTTTATTTTTATCTTTATTTTATCTTTATTTTTTATTTTTATTTTATTATTTTTATCTTAAAAACGAATATTTTTATCTTTTATATTAATTATATCAATTAATATAATTGATATGAAATATTAATATAATTATAATATAATATTTGACAAATTGGGAATAGTTGAATTATGATTAGAAGCGAAAAATTATCAAAATCTTTTTCTTACAAAATAAATTAACTTTCTCTAATATTATTATTCGCATTCAATAAATATATAGTTTGGTAAAATAAATTAAAATCTCTTTCTTTATGTCCATAATTATGGATTAATAAATATAATTAATAAATATAGTTATATCTTTTATGGATTAATTATGGATTTAAATATAGCTGTATCTCGATTAATTATAAAATCTTTTTTCCTAAAATATAAAACATGTACGAATGAGTTATTTATGCATTTGCTAATAACAAGAAGAAACAAAGGTTTTCAATATTTTTTATGAATCCATACTATTGAATGAACGATGATTTATGAGAAACTAATTTATTTCGATGGATGTGGTAAGGAAAATGTTACATGATTTCTCTTTTGATGTAATGCAATATTTAGTAGAGATGAAGAAATGAAAGCATTGTGTATGAAATTTTTCAAAAATTATTATATGTCTATTTCGAATTCTTTTACCTTTCTGGATGAGCATCCATGCTGGTTATAGCTGTTACTGGATGACGTAATATAAAGTGCCATTTTTGCTTCGGAATTTCTACTAATGCTATTACTCCCATAGAAGAACCTGAAAAGCAAAATCCAAAAAAATGCTACAGTGTTTTCAATGTTTGTTGTGTACATACTACATACACACACACGTGCGCACGCACGTAATACATGCACATGCATAATATCATATATGTATAGAAAATTATTATATATTAATATTTTTTAATTATTTATATTTTAATATACTAATGTTTTCATAAATATTTTTTATTTATTAATGTAGAAGATGCATAGAATGTTGTAAAAAAATATAGAGAATGCGAATCAAGAATTTTTTATGCTGAATTAAATTGATCAATTTTTATTCTAATCAAACTGAATCGTTATTACATAATTTGTAATTAACAATATATATAATTATTGTAATATTGAATTAAACGCGAAGATAATAAGATAAAAGTAAGAGAATAATTTGTAAACAACACTCTTATTAATAGGAAATACAAAATTGCAAAATTGTCAACATTTGTGTTAAATAAAATATCATAGTGAAACTTTATAATAAATAAGATTAGCTTTATAATATGGACAGATATTATAGAAAGACTTTCTTCCTAAATTTCACTAACAAGTTTAGATATAAATTTAGATATAAATTTTGTTTCTATTATTTAAATTAATTAAATGCAAAATATATTTTACAGTTTTTACCAATTATTTATTTATCTCATTGTCAGTTAATTTTTCATATCCAGAAAATTATTGTTATAATTGCAAGATCATTTTTTTGAGTAAATCGTATAAATTTGAATTCGAATCCGAACAGTTCATATATTTCTAATTAAGTAAATATCTTACATGCGAGAAAATTTCGGACGTTAAACGGGGAGCCCTGTAAAGTAGCATCCATCGGCTGATAGCTTGATTTTACTTCGCTAAATATCTTGTTTCGTGAAATATGTTTTATATTTGTAATGAATTTTGATATCTTTGATTTGCTATTTCATTTGTATTTTAATTCATGAGGATATTTTAACCTATTATAAGTCACATAATTGTATACTTTTATTCTGTTATACGTATATCGAAAGTTTTCGTTTTCCTCATATAAAATATCAAATATATAATATAAAATATAAAAATATAAAAATATAAAATTATAAATTATAAAATATAAAAATATAAAAATATAAAATATCAAATTAAAGTTAAAATATCAAATAAAAAATATACAATGTAATAAGTAAATTAATACAATATATATTTTACATTACATAAATTTCATATCGGCTGTAAACAATTTTACGAATAAAAAATAATAAATTTTATGAGAAATATATGTAAAAATATAAACATTAAAAATAAATAACATACATAAAGACATATAAAAAAGTGAAAGTTAAGTAATATAATTTATAGAAAGAACAGTTTTGAAAGCTGAAAACTGAATGTTCGGAAAAAAAGAGTTTTTTCCGAGATAAAACTTATTGTCAGACACATTTATAGTAAATACCGGAGGTAGCAAATTTGATTGAAGATCGAAACTGAGCCATCGAATGGAATCAATATAGCAATTCTGGCACCAGTACAAAAGTTGCAATTGATAATTATAAAAAGTAATACGACCATTTGAATTTCCAGTGACAAGCATACTGCAAAATTAACGATTAAATTCGTACCAAATATACTATTATTATTAGACTAAAATATCAATTGTTAAATTATATATTTCAACACGTATACTTTTCGTTATGGACGATAACAGTAATACTACTGTTCTGTAAATTAATCGTTTTTATATGTTTTTTCTTTTTATATTTATCATCATTGGTCGCATCCTTTTCTTTGCAAAAAACGTCATTCCAAACCAAAATGCATCCTGAAAAAATTATATACGTCAGCACATAATGTCCGACAATTACTAATTGGTAACTAAAATTATGTCAATTAACGAGGATACCATTTGTAGTTGCTGTAAACGCTTGCTGTATTTTCGAAACATAGCAAGTTCCATTGAAAATTCCAATATGAAATTTTTTCGCAACCTTGGGACAATCATAACTCAAAGACTGGCCATTCTTGTTTAATAGAAATATGAAAACAGAATTATATATATATATATATATATATAAATCCAAACATTAGTTAAATTAAATTCAAAATATATAAACCCTGTATTTCTCGTTCTGTCAAAATATTCAGCAATAATATGCAATATAAAATCTAATTTTATTAGTAATTTTTCTTTCTAAAAAATAAAATTTGAAATTTTATATAATGTGTCATATAAAGAGAGAAAGTTCTAAAAATATTCATAAATCAAAATTTTATTTCTGTCAAGTTATATTATCGTTTCGTTTAGTAATTTTACATAAAGATACAAATATGATATATTTCTCACTAACCCAAATTAGGAACAGAACGTGATAATCGGTAGTTAATACAAATTGTTCCGGACATTCATCGTTGAAAGTTATTTCCTTGACACGTTCGGACTTAATGTCGATCAACGAAATTGATCCTGAAAATATATGATATCAAATAAATCGATAATTTATTGATATATTTTTTTATAATAAATATTTTACAAACTCTTAGCAATAATAATAATTGCCTATTTTTTAATGATTATACATAATTAATAATCAATAGTTATATAGTACAAACCCAATACAAAATATTGCAGCAACATTGCAGCAATGTTTGCTGGAAATGTATAATTTCCAAGGTTGGGTAATAACTAATTGATTAGTTAAAAGTTAAAAAAAAGTTAAAAAGTTAATAATTTTTAACTCAACTTAGTTATTTTAAAAAGAGTTAACTTTTAACTTTAACTAGTTATTTTTAAAACACATAAACTTAAACTTATTAACTTTCTGCCCAAATTTATTTGATGATTCATATTATTATATAGAGTAATCTAATTTTAAAATTACAATCTGATTTAATATAAAGTGAAATAATGCTTTTCAAAATTTTAACTTTTATCTTAACTAACGTTAATTTAATCTTAACGTAACTTTTATTGAGTTAATTTTTTATTTGTACAACTTTTAACATAACTAAATTAATTTTTTAACCCATTAACTTTAACTTAATTTAGTTTAAAAAAATATAAACTTACTCAACCCTGATAATTTCTAATAATAAAATATGAAAATTTAATATTTACATTAAATGGCAAAAAAGAATGATTCGAAAGCAAAAAAGAGTGATTAAACGAACGAACAAATTAAGTGAGCAAACCGTCTGGTTTGTCCCTTCCATGAGTCCACAACCAGACATGCACATTCTGACACTTTTCATTGCCGACAGTGACTATTTGCTTAGCATCGGGACTGATACGAGCGATTGTCATGTCTTCGCTCGCATGCGGATTGAATAAAGTGCACACGGGCACCCTGCAAACGCATCGAAAAAAATAATATTACGAAAATAATTTCCTCAAGAAAACACTTGCCCTTTTTCCGTGTCCCAAACTATCACCATGGAATCTTTCCCGAAATTCGCTGATAGCAACCATTTGCTATCTCGTGAAGTGGATAATGTTTCTACGGCATTATGCTGGAGAGCAAGAAAAATTGCAATGTTGCTGCAGCAATATTGCAATATTGCTGCAGCAATATATTGCAATGTTTGCTGCAATGTAACAATAATGGTCCCCCGCAAACACAGAATATTGCAGCAACATTGCTGCAATGTTGTAATATATTGCCGTAACATTGCTGCGATATTGTAATATTGCCGCAATATTCTGTGTTTGCTGGATCTATGCTGTATTAGATTTTAAATGAGAAAAATACTCGTTATTTTGCATTACACGTGTAAAAAATATACTAACATGGCCTACAAGCGACAACATTTCTCTCGAAATGTAGTTATAAATCACAACTACATGCGAACAGGCGTACGCTAGTAACGTTCGATCTTTGGTAGTTAAATTTATCACCGGTACTTCCGGATTTATGCCGAATGACCATTGCAATTCCTGAAAAGAGAGCGACAATTTTTTTGACATATTCGTATTAGCGAGCGCATCGTCCAAGGTTCCCAGTTCTCACTCACGAATGGGCAAAGATCATGCTCTGTGAATTTCTCGCAGTACTTTTTCTTCACGTTTTTCTTTATATGCTCAATATTTTTGATATCCATTCGAAATTGATCGAATATTAAGGAAGAAACAATAGTGCACATCGCCATTTTGTAACAAATGCGACAGAAATAAGACATTCAGTTTACATTTATACGATTGATAAGATAGAATTTATATTTTATTTCCGAGAGATAATATTATTAATATTGCAAAAAACAATTGTTTCTCATAAATATGTATAAAATAATATTATACTTTTAATTAAATATATTCAGTATTTAATATTTATACAATAATATATAAATATTTATATCATCATTTTTAAAAATTCAATTTTTGTTACAATAGAAATGCACGTTATATTATTCTCGCAAATATCTTATGAAATCATTATAAATTACAGATAAAAATTTATAAAATTATTAAAAGTACTAACTTTACCCCTTTTCTATTGAAAAAAAATTAGAATTTAAAATTAGAAAATAATAAAATTTAGAAAGAAATTTAGAGAAATAAATAAACAAGGATAGAATTAAATTCAATTTTTATTACAATAGAAATGCACGTTATATTATTCTTGCAAATATCTTATTATGAAATAATTATAAATTACAGATAAAAATTTATAAAATTATTAAAAATACTAACTTTACTCCTTTTCTATTGAAAATTAGAAAATAATAAAATTTAGAGAGAAATTTAGAGAAATAAATAAAGATAGAAATAAATTTACAGCGAATTTTCTTTAGATTGATAAAAAAGCTTTATTCATTTTTATTTATATTTTTTTAAGAAACTTGTTTAAACTTACAACAAATATCAATTGAAACAAATATATTATTAACATATTTATTTCCTTTTCCTGTTTAAAATAATTTCTTATATCATTGATGCGTATGTCGTAAAGGCGCTTTGTTTCTTGAAAAAATAATATATATAAAAGATCATTGTTGATCAAAACGCGATATTACAATTATCATTTCTAGATTTTATTCTTTCGCGTTGCTTATTTTACGCGATATCACGATATTTCAGCATTGTGTATATTACAGACTAAAATACCATTTCAATTGAAAAGGATTATCATCTCGACTGATATTAGAAAAAAAAAACATTATCTTCTAGTAATAGATAATCTATATGTTGAATAATAACACATTATGTACTATATACATTAATTTAAGAAAAAATTAACTGCAGCAGCTTTGGGGCTTAGGATCCAGGCCTGAACGTTTAGTGACGGATATACGTGTAAATTCCTCTGCTACTGTTGGATGAATTCCCACAGTGGCCTTCAATTTCGGAATTGTTAAGCCACATCTATGAAAATACAACAAAAGTATGCGTTATAACTTTATAATGTAATTTTTTTTTAAATAAATTTGTGTGTGCGTAGATTAAGTACTTACTTAATAGCAGCAGCAAATCCTTGAATCACTTCGCCCGCGTTTGGTCCAACAAAGTGTATACCAAGCACCCTCTGATCACCGCTTCTGAATGCGACAACCTTCACATAACAACGATCGACGTCCTTCTGGGGAACGAAAAATTCCGTTGGTTTGTAGTACGCATGATAAATCTCTATCTCTTCCTCTCCGTGAAGTCCTATCGCCGCTTCTTCGCTCAATCCAACGCATCCGTATTCTAAAGGACTGAATACTGTCGTTGCTACATTTGTGTAATCCATTTGCTCAGTAGAGTTATCGAACAGTCTTCTCGCAAGTAATTTGCCTGCATGTATAGCGACCGGTGTTAATTCGGGTCTTTTCTATAACAGATATTCAAAAATTATATCACTTATATTAAGATCATCTATCATATTTGTATTTTTTCTAATTAGCAATAAAAAGAAATAAAGTTAGTATTTTTAACAATTTTATAAATTGTTTGTATAGTTATTTGCATTGAATTATTTTATTATTTTCTAATTAGCAATAAAAAGAAATGAAGTAGGTACTTTTAACAATTTTATAAATTTCCGTTTGTATTGTTACTATTGTTTTCATTTCATTTCATGGAATATTCACAAGAGAAAAATGTTAAAAATACTTATCATTTAGATCTTGAAAAATAATTTCTGCTGCAATATAAAATGTCACAAAAAACTTACATGAAGTACATCACCAACTGCGTAAATGTTGGGAACATTCGTTTGTTCATTAATTGCTTCAATTTTGTTAGTTTCTGGAACAAGTTTCAACCCGGCATTCTCCGGTTTTAACTCCTCTGTAAGCGCCCGTCGGCCAATAGCAAATAGAACGGTATCATACACATCTTGATGAATTTGACCATCCTAAAAAAATGCAAATTATATTACATTGTAATGCAAAGAAACTTATTTGTTCTGTTTTCTTAATATAAATTTCTGTAAATTTGCACAAACACACACACACCTTGTCGACCCAGTCAACAAGAAGGCGGCCATCCTCTTGCTTCGCAACTTTCTTAGGCTTTGCTTGATAGATGAAATGTACACCGCGTTGTTCCATTTCTTCGGCAACGAGGTTTGCCATTTGTTGATCAAATCCACGCAACACGATCGATCGGACCATTATTGTCGTGTCATAGCCTAAGCCATTAAGAAAACCAGCACACTCTAAGCCAATATCTATTTCATCATTTAAGGAAATATGTATTTGTATATAATTCTTATACAGGGTGTCCCAAAAGTCCCGGACTGGTCGAATATTTGATAAACTATGCACTTTAGAAAGAAATGTTTCAGACAAAAGTTGTATGGCTTGAAGGGGGCCATCAGATAGTAGCAATGATTTGACCTTGGATAGTCATTTGAAGGTCACATATAGATCATCTTCAATTTCTTAAATGGAACCTACTATTTTTCATTGCATATTCTTGTAGCTTATTTCAAGAGCTTTCCAAAACACTATAATTGCTCTTTACACCAATTGATTCCTTTCATTATTTTGTACATAAAAATATTAAGGTAAGATAATCGAAAAATGAATATTTTACTAGATATTTTATGGTTTATGCAAAATTAAGAATGTTTTTAAGTCTCATAATTCGAAAAGTACTCAATGAAGAAATACTTTATTATAGTGTTTTGAAAAGCTCTCGAGATAAGCTACACGAATATGTAATAAAAAATAGGGGGTTCCATTTAAGAAATTGAAGGTGACCTTTACGTCACCTTCAAATGACTCTCCAAGGTCAAATCATTGCCACTATCTGATGGCCCCCTTCAAGCCATACAACTTTTGTCTGAAACATTTCTTTCTAAAGTGCATAGTTTATGAAATATTCGACCGGTCCGAGACTTTTGGGACACCCTGTATAATATCTAATAGATGATTTGGTAATAAATCATATAAAACTTTGATGAGGGAAAGGATACATCCAGCTCCGACAACAAGAGTCTTGCCTGGAGCACGTTCTAAACTGAAGATATCATCACTACTTATGCCATACTCTAGAGCACCTGGAATATCGGGATATCTAGGTCTACCACCCACCGCGATTAATATGTTTTTAGCTGTAAAAACTTTCTCCTCTCCTTTTTTAGTAACTCCAACTACCGTGTGTGCATCCATGAAATGTCCAAGAGCGTTGAAATAATCCACTTTCCTAAATTAATGTAAATAATATTTAAATGTAAAAAAATTAAATAATAGAAATAATAATATAATCAATGAAATAATAAGATTATAGACGGAAAAATTGAAAAACCACCAACTTAGTTCTAAGCTCAACACGAGTGACCCAGTTGACAGATTTAACATGATTTTGTACAGCAGTCTTCAAGGCTTCCCAGTTGATTTTCACAGTCTTAGGATCAGGTAACTGCCAACCAAATGTGGCCGCCTCCTAAAAATCGAACAATAAAAATAATCAGAGACAGAGGTTCTATTTTGAATTACACTATTGTAATAATTTGAAATGTTTATATACATGAACAGCTTCACCGAGCAATGCGGCTTGATGCATTAATTTTTTGGGTATACATCCTACATTGACACAAGTACCACCTAAGCCCCAAGTGGTCCCAAGAGGAGAGGGAGTCACGTAATCCAAAACTGCCACTTTTGCATTTAGTCCCACCGCTTCTTTAGCTGCTGCCAGGCCACCGGATCCTCCACCAATGACCAAGAGGTCATATGTGTATTTCTGTTCCGCTAAAAATAAACAATAATTATATACTATCACTATTCCCATATTCTAAATCTTCTTTTATCGATAAAAGTGCTCTAAAAATAGCGTATAAGCCTTCTAATTGACTACAAGCCACTTTTAAAAGCCCCTTTTATCGATAAAAGAGGATTCAGAATATGGACCTATATATGTACAGTAGGTGTCACTAATGTCTTAACATATGAAATTGGTCGCATTCGAGACTAATAATAATTTAATAATAATAAGTAGTCATTATTAATCCCGAATGTGACCAACTTCACATGTTAAGGCATTATTGACGCCTAGTATATGCATGAAAGATATTTTAACAGAATTAATTCTGAAAAAAAATCAAAAACGTTTTTTTCCGTAAACGATATCGCAAAGATGTATCTGTCAAAACTTCCGTGCATTTTTTTCAAACATTCGTCCCTTCGAAATGTCAAATTCAAATGTCGAATTCAAAATTCTTGGGATCGCGCGCGAACCAGCGGCGCAACTATTCTTAGGGTGCTGTCACATGACAGTCGGAATTTCGGAAAACGGAATCTCGGAAAAGTACTAGAACTAGGAATTAAATGGGATTGAATTTTTATCTTTATAAGAGGAATTTTATTTTGTTAATAAATAATTGTTTGGTAAACATTTATTAATGTACATATAAATATATACTCAAAATATTTTATCACATAAAATTGTTATCATATTGTCAAGAATAAAAGTTGCGTGTTTGTCGGTTCGCTTTTTTTGTGGCTGAGCTCCCCATAGACTAATATTTCGGAGCATTTCGGAAATTAGTAAAAATATAAAAATTTATTTTGATAGTTTTCCGACAAAAAAAATAAGTAATACAATAAAAAAATATATAAAAAAGTGACATTTGTACGTATTGTTTATTATAACAGAAAATAATAAAGAAATTTTCTAAATTGAAAAACAATTTGAGGTTAGCATAACATTCCGTTTTCCGTAAAAATCACTCCATGGGGAGCGAGACTGTCGAAAAATTGGATTGGAAAAAAATTCTGATTAGTTGATCACCACTCTAGTACTTTTCCGAGATTCCGTTTTCCGAAATTCCGACTGCCATGTGACATCACCCTTAGACTAATATTACATTTGTCGTACGACAAACTTTTTAAGTACACCGATTGGCTGCAGAATAGAAAATTTTTAAAGATTCAAAAAATTATTATCCCGCAACCAATCAATGTGCTTAAAAAATTTATCGTACGACAAATGCAATATTAGCCTTACACGTGTAACTACACGTAAACGGCGTATCGCCGTTATTCTTATCAATATACTCGTTTCACTCACTGCACATGCAGGCCATCGCGCTTCCCCCGTAGATGAGATCGTCGCACTTGACAAGCGTCGGATGCCAACGCGGTAACCCAAACAACTTGGCGTGCGCGCCCCGAAGTGACAGGAGCCGCGTGAACACCGCCAGAGTCGCCATGATAATCGGCGACATTCACGGTGCGCGACTCACGGCTTGCGCCACGTGACGTCAATCGCGTCGCGTCGCGCTAACGGGTGGGAATAAAGGCGCTGCCGGTCGCGCGACGCGTTTTCCGCGGACGGCGAACGGGGAGGCGCGATGAGGTCGATCCTGATCACCGGTTGCAACCGCGGTCTCGGTCTGGGACTGGTGAGGCACCTGGCCGAGAGGTCATCGTCGCCACCGGATATGATCTTCGCGACCTGCCGTGACGCGAGCAGGGCTCCGGTAAGATTTCGCGGTCGGTTTCGTCATTTCGTTTTGTCGGTTACATTTTGTATAAAATTCTGAGGGGCTCGTAATTCAACAAGGTCACTTACCAATCGGCGCCATCGCGACTCTCTTTACTCCTCGTGCGAAAGAACGTATTTTGGCTGTACGATGTAATCGAAAACGTCAAAACGCCTTCCGTGTAATGTCTAAAGACAGCCGTAATTGTACTGACACCGACGCACGTTCTATTCTATACCATAAGGTCTCATCACCGCCATCTATTATAGGTGGCCTTCTCCGAGTCTTCCCCCTCCCTAACTCCTCCCTTCCTTTCTCCTCTCTACCCCCGCCCCCTTCCTCGATCCCAGCAATTATTGGCGCAATTTTGTAATGAGTCAGCGATGATGACGATGATGATCGACGAGCGATTGCATTCGATCGGTAAATCCTGATGTAATTCGAATGATGGGAACCAACCGAACCGGTCCAAGATTGTTTCTTTATCTCATGTCTCGCTCGCAGATTCATTGAAATAATATAACGGGATGTTTTTCACGACGATCACGCGACTGTTATATTTTAATAAAATTTAAAAAAATATAAAAATATTTGCAGGAATTGCGAGCACTCGCCGACAAGTCGTCAAACATACATATTATCGAGATAGGTAAGTTATTAATTTCGTTTTTGTTTCGTTTCATTTCGTTACATTATTAATATCAAGCGTAACGCGAGAATAATTATCTTTATTATCGCGATAACATTCTTATTGTCAGAATGATTGCAACTAAATCCGATCCAAGCGTTTGTAAAAGCATCTTGAAACTTCGATTTCTGATTATGAGTCATTGATTAAAAATTATAATAATTATAATAGTTATAATAGTTTTTTTTTAAATATAAATACAAATATATGTAATAAAATATATGTAATAAAATTTGCTCGTGTAAGCAGTTCAAATTAACATTTTGATAAAATTGTAGTTCCGTCAAGCTTATCGAGATATTTAGTGTCGAAAATTAATAAATTATCAATGAATGCAACATTTTTGTATAAAGAATTTTAAGAAATTATCTAAAAGAATTTTAGATCATTTTTCTCAGATTTAAGTAAAAAAATTCAATCTTAATTTCACATTGTAGATATTATTTTATTCAATCTTAACATTCCACACTGTAGATATTATTTTATATAAAGAATGATTATTCTAAAAAAAATGTATTAAAGTATTGCTACGTAATATTATTCCATTTTTGGAATATATATTTTAGTAAATTTGGTAATTTTGGAATATATATTTAAGTTGAAAACTTCGTCTATGAGTTTTTACAGTAATAAATAAATATATATAATGTTGCGTCCTCATGTCCCGTCCCTGCGGATGTATTCGCCACCCGTTATTTTATCGGCGGAAAGTACATACATTGATGGAAGAAGATCGTTTTTGCGCGCGTTGTCAAGATAAATATTGTTTTCAACGACTGTCTTGGAGTCTGAGCTCAGCTGACAAGCTGTGTGAGCGCGCGTTAATCTGTATTTCGTTTTTCCTGTATTATTCTTGTATATTTCTCGTGTCTCGCATTAAAGCTTTTGTATTTAAGAAAGCGGTATTATTATTCCGAGTGCGCAAGTGTGATCGTGTGCCGATAGTTCTGCCGCGCGCATTTCGAGATATATCGCACCGCGGACACAACAATATACAGGGTGAGCCATTTTAAGATACCCACCCCAATAAATTTTTTATTTTTGAATGTACAACAAAATGTTTCAAATAAAAGTTGCTTGACTTCGAGGACGACAGAAAATGGTGGCAAAAATTTGACCTTGGATAGTCATTTGAAGATCATATAAAGGTCATCTTCAATTTCTTAAATGGAACCCCCTATTTTTCATTGCATATTCTTGTAGCTTATCTCGAGAGCTTCCCAAAACACTATAATAAATTATTTTTCCATGAAGTACTTTTCGAGTTATGAGGCTTGAAATCATTTCTTAATTTTACATAAACTTTAATTTTACATAAAATATTTTGTAAAATATTCATTTCTCTATTATCTTACCTTAATACTTTTACGCAAAATAATGAGAGGAATCAATTGGTGTAAAGAAAACACATAGTTGTTTCTAAGAAAAAATATGCAATTTGCAATTAATAATTTCATAAAATATCATAAAAATTCATAAAAATCAATTTCGAAAAATGAATATTTTATGGTTTATGTAAAATTAAGAAATGCTTTCAAGCCTCATAATTCGAAAAGTACTTCATGGAAAAATAATTTATTATATGTGACCTTCAAATGACTATCCAAAGTCAAATTTTTGCCACCATCTTCTGTCCCCCTCGAAGTCAACTCTTATTTGAAACATTTTGTTGTACATTCAAAAATAAAAAAGTTATTCGGGTGGGTAACTTAAAATGATTCCCAGTTATCTTCAGTCATCTTTCAAAGACAGATTCCTGGGATTATTTGAAGACGATTTTTCCTCAGCGAAAATGAAGGCCATCATTTTTTGCATGTTCCCGATTTTTGTCATCATATATCTTTACAATTAAGTCTTAAATTAAAACTAAAGTAAACTTTATTTAAAATTAATCAAAGAATGTGATTTTGTTAATATTTTATTTCTATGAAACTTGGTTTACGAAAAACCCCTTATTTCCAATCACTTATATTTCGAAAATTATTAGTGCCTCGACATTTTCGTTGAGGAAAAATCGTCTTCAGATGATCCCAGGAATCTGTCTTTGAAAGATGACGGAAGATAACGGACACCCTGTGTATATATATATATACAGTGTCAAACATTTATAATGTTAATGAAAAATCTCGTAATATGCACCTCTGGAAAAATATTTTACACAAAATTTGTTTGGTATCAATGTATAAGCGTATGAAAATATCATGAAACAAATGACTTGTCTTTAAAATCGATTATTTCGAAAAATTAGCATTTAATAAAAAATATTCCGAAGAAAAAAAATTGTTTTTACTCCTTTTCTTTATATAAAACAATAAAAAATAGAAATTTTTTCCATTAAAAAAAATAAAGTTGGCCTTTTGTTTGATTTACACATTTACAGTAAAGTCATCTATAATAAAACTGATAGTTCAATATCGAACAAGTCTTGTCAAAAAATTTTTTCATGAGATACATATTTTAATAAGATATTTGTCATTAACATTATAAATGCTTTACCCTGTATATATGTATACAATAAAGTAATATACAATCTACATAAACAAAATGATACTGATGAAGTTGATTCGAGTATAAAAACATTGTAAAATGTTAGGAAATATTTTGGGAGAATTACATTATTATATTATTATTAATTATATTATTATATATTAATATCTTACTTAATATGGGAGTAATATTCCTCTGTCGATTTTCCACTTCATTCTTTATACCATTCTCATGAATCTCCCATTTCTCTTTCATTTCTTCAGTTTTTCTCGCATTTTATTTTCTGTTTTGTTCTCTTCGATTTCTCGTTCGGAATCAGAGTCTATAGTTTGTGACTTTTCGCGACATATCGAAAACCACGTTTTCGTCTTGTTTACTTGATGGGTTCTCAGCACCTTGCGCGATGAAGAGAAAAAGAGGAATCCCAGAGCGCTATGTCGCCAATGTTTCTATTGTAGAAGAAAAGCATGGATATTGTCGGAATTATATCGATCGATATGTGTACTGATATCGATGTCTGATATCATCTAATTTTCTATTTTAAAAGATCGCGTTTTTCTCGTGCGCGATAAGAAAATTATATTGTTCATCAGGACATGACACGATCGTTTCTTTGCGATAATGATAATTGAATAATTTTAAAAATTGAATGATTCATGGAGAAATATCTCTTGCATCATACATTATTTTCGTCTTAGAATATTTTGTGAAGTAATATATTCAATGAAATAATAATATAATAAATATAACATATAAATAATAACACATATATATATATATATATATATATATATATATATATATATATATATATATATAGTGGCCCCGAACGTTCCTGCCTGACTTTGAGATCTTATAGAAAATTTAATTCTGAACAAAAAATTTCCTACAAACATGGATCGAAAAATGCTTCCCTAAGAAGTTATCTCTCAAAAACCTCTGATGAAGGAAGAGCAAAAGGTGAAAAAAAATGAAATAAAAAGAAAATGAAACTAAATAAATTTCTTGAAAAAAACAATAAAAATAAAAAATAAAAATCTTTTTCTTTTATGAAAATAAAATAATTTTTTTTAAATTAATATTTTAGTATTAGCACGTAATAGTAGAAAATGAATAAAGATGTTTTTCAAGAAATTTATTTAGTTTCATTTTCTTTTCACCTTTTGCTCTTCCTTCATCAAAGGTTTTTGAGCGATAACTTCTTAAGGAAGCATTTTTGGACCCATGTTTTTATAGGAAATTTTGTGTTCAGAATTAAATTTCCTATAAGATTTCAAAGTCTGGCTGGAACGTTCGGGACCACCCGGTATATATATATATATATATATATATATATATATATATATATATATATAAATGTTCTTCTTGCATAATATTTGTAAACCAAAAGCATTTATACTTATTTTTTTAAGTTTCCAACATTTTTAATTATTGCAGCTTTTTGTGCTTAATAATGCAGTTATTGCAAAATAATTAAATATAATAATATATAATTTATGTATTAATAATATATATAAATAATTTATATAAAGTAATAATTTATAATTGAACAAAACAAAAACAAGAATAAGACCAGTCTTGATGTTTTATTTGAATATGATTTCAATTTCCCAATTGTTTTATAACATTATAATATTGAAAAATTTGCAACTAAAGCATAAAAAAATGTATTTTGTTATAATTATGGTATATGACATATTGAATAAGCTTTATTGCAATCACAAATATGTTCTTAAACCTTTCAATTATCAAAGAGAATTTGTATCAGTTATAATTAATAAGATATTCGTAATTAAATATACAGTCTGTTGTGAATTAAATTATTGAAGATCTATATCAAATAGTTGCTAATTATGTTCATTTAATGTTAATATTTTTTTAAAAGTTAAGATTTTTGGAATATGAATTTTCCATTGATAAATTTCAACTGGAGGAATTAATATAGAAGTCAAAATTTAAAAAATGTTTGTAAATTTTCGTAAAAATTACGTACATACATACACACATATGTAACAGGCTATACTATTTTACGAGATATTTTATATTGTTTTATATTTTTTATGTTAAATTATGTCAATTTAAAGTGTAAAATATTACGTAAAAGCAGAAATTATTTAATTTCTGCTATTTTACTCTTATAACTTTTTACGTGGAATCAATATTCCTCACAATTGAGGAATCGATTTATATAGACATATTAGAATAATTCCATTTTAAAAACAGGTTGACCTTCACATGGCCTCACATCTACACCCAAAGTCAAATTAATATTCTTATCTTTTTTCTCCTTTCAACTTTTATTTGAAACATTTTTTTTAAATTTGCAGTGTATATTAAGTGCAGCAATGCTTAATGATTAATACTGTAAATATTGAAATATTAAATTTTTTTAAAATTTTAGTAATTCCTGCAAACTCAATCTAAATATTAGAAATTTTTTTTTATTTTAAGGATAGAAAACTGCAAAAATTTCTAGAAAGAATTCTTTTTTTTTTTTTGTTAATTTTGTCAATAAATTTTTTTCTTTCAGTTTAATTGATAAAGACTTTATTAAGAAAGAGAATTTTTTATCTCGATATTTTACGAATGAAAAGCTTAATTGTGCCAAAATAAGAAAGCTTGTTTTTTTATCATTCTATATTTCATAGCAAACTTTTTTGCAACTTTAAGCATTTTTTTTCTTAAATTAATATAGAAACTGCTATCAAAAAGTAATTTTATTTATATTTATTTGTTAACGACGTAAGTAATTAGTGAGGAAAAAAAATTTCTGCATCCATTTTATCAAAAATTTGAGATTCAATTAATTGTAATAAAGTTCAAATAAATCATGTTTTAATACATTATGAACATTTCTTCTCACAACGTAAGTTTAATATTGATTGTAAAATATGTTTTATTTCTTTTTTTTCTCAGATTTAACTTACACGGATGACTACAAAAGAATCGTAGATACAGTCAGTGAAAAAGTAAATGGTGCCGGTCTCAACGTTCTTTTTAATAACGCTGGTATTTCCAGCAAATTCACACGTCTCGGCCTTGTGAAGAAACAGCAAATTATAGATGCTTTTCTAGTAAATACCGTCGCACCTATTATGTTTACAAAAGTATGCTTATATTTTATATTCATTAATATTGAATACAATTGGATTGCTTGCTTTATATACATGTATAATGGAAACATTCGTATAATAATTGATTCAAGGCTTTCTTACCACTACTGAAAGTGGCTGCGAAAAATGCCAAGGATAAAACCGAATTAAGCGTAAGAAGAGCAGCTGTCATCAATATGACTTCTATTTTAGGTAGCATTACTGAAAATAACGACGGTGGTTTTTATCCCTACAGATGTAGTAAGGTAGGACACTTTAGGATTTAAAATATCCATTATTATACAGGGTTAGGAAAAAGTCTGGATACCCCTTAATATTTCGAAAAATATGCATTTAAAAAAAAAATGTTTTATACAAAAGTTATAGGGTTTTATGTGGCGCATTACATGGCAACATTACTATGACCTCGAATAGCGTTGTCAAAGTTATGTGAACGTCAGCTTCAATTTTTTAAATAGAACCCCCTATATTTCATTGCACATTCTTGTAGTTTACCACGAGAGCTTTCCAAAACACTATAATAAATTATTTTTCCATGAAATACTTTTCGAATTATGAGGCTTGAAATCATTTCTTAATTTTACATAAACCATAAAATATCTTGTAAAATATTCATTTTTCGATTATCTTACCTTAATATTTTTATGTACAAAATAATGAGAGGAATCAATTAGTGTAAAGAAAACACATAGTTGTTTCTAAGAAAAAATATGTAATTTGCAATTAATAATTCCATATTTTTTCTTAAAAACAATTGTATGTTTTCTTTACACCAATTGATTCCTCTCATTATTTTGTGCATAAAAGTATTAAAATAAGATAATTGAAAAATGAATATTTTACAAGATATTTTATGGTTTATGTAAAATTAAGAAATGATTTCAAGCCTCATAACTTGAAAAATACTTCGTGGAAAAATAATTTATTATAGTGTTTTGGAAAGCTCTCGAGGTAAGCTACAAGAATATGCAATGAAAAATAGGAAGTTCCATTTAAAAAATTAAAGCTGACCTTCACATAACCTTGATAACGCTATTAGAGATCATAATAATGTTGCTGTGTAATGCGCCACATAAAACCCTATAAGTTTTGTATGAAACATTTTTTTTAAAAATGCTTATTTTTCGAAATATTAAGGGGTATCCAGATTTGTTTCCTAACCCTGTATATGTATACATACATGTGATCATCACGGAAAAAAGGTTCAAAAATTTCGAATCTTGTTAAAGCTAGAATACTATAGAAGTTATCCACGAGTCAACAACCAACATTAATTTCTTTTACATCTTGACTATATTCCTTTTTTTTATTTTGCGTTATTATTTTTATGCGATTCGCGATATGTTTGTTTTTAATCATAACTACTATTTTTGTAATTCACTAAAATTTGCGTCAATTGCTTATAATTTTTGATTTAATATATTACATATACAGGGTGAGCCATTTTAATCCGTCCACTCAAATATCTCCAAACCTGTAAGTTTTAGAAGAAAACTTTTTAGAAAAAAGTTGTTGGATTCTGAAGGGGACAGAAGATAGGAATATTAGTTAGATCTTGGGTGACGTTGTTAAGGTCATATCGAGGTCACATTAATTTTTTTAAATTGAAACTCCTATTTTTTATTGCATATTCTTGTAGCTTATCTCGAGAGCTTTCCAAAACACTATAATAAAGTAATTTTCATTGAGTACTTTTCAAATTATGGCTTAAGTAATATCTTAAAGTAATAATTAATTTTACATAAACTTTAAAATATCTTGTAAAATAATCATTTTTCGATTACCTTAATACTTTTACGTACAAAATAATAAGAGAAATCAATTGGTGTAAAGGAAACACAGTTATTTTGAGAAAAAATATGTAATTATTAATTGCAAATTACATATTTTTTCTTAGAAACAACTGTGTGTTTTCATTACATCAATTGATTCCTTTCATTATTTTGTGCATAAATGTATTGAGATAAGATAATCAAAAAATGAATATTTTACTAGATATTTTATGGTTTATGTAAAATTAAGAAATTATTTCAAACCTCATAACTCGAAAAGTACTCAATGGAAAAATACTTTATTATAGTGTTTTGGACTTTATTATAGTGTTTTGGAAATCTCTCGAGATAAGCTACAAGAATACGCAATAAAAAATAGGGGTTTCAATTTAAAAAATTCAATGTGACTTTGATATGACCTTAACAACACCACCCAAGGTCTAACTAATATTCCTATTTCTATTCTACCCCTCAGAACCAAACAGCTTTTTTCTAAAAAGTTTTCTTCTAAAACTTACAGGTTTGGAGATATTTGAGTGGACGGATTAAAATGGCCCACCATGTATACATATCTATTTATTTCTCACTTATATATATATATATTTTTTGTCTGGGACCTTATCTCCTTAAAATTCATAATATGGATTCAATAAAATTTGTATCTTCTTATTAAAATCTACATTCTGTAATCTTTCAAAATTAAAAAAGTTATACTATTATTATCAAATAGTGACGGCATATATTTTATATCACGTGTGAAATATTTGAAATCTAAAAAAGTAAATATATCTTATCTAATCTTATACATACAGGCGGCACTTAATGCGGCAACCAAATCGATGAGTATCGACTTAAAAACAGATGGGATTTTGGTGACATGTTTACATCCTGGATGGGTACGCACTGATCTAGGTGGCAATAACGCTCCAATGGACATCGATACTAGCGTTAATAATATTTTAAATACATTAAACTCATTGACAGAGAGGCATACTGGTTGTTTTGTCCAATATGATGGTAAAATACTCCCTTGGTAATAAGGTCAAATAAAATTTTTACTGAAATAAAATATTTCTTATACATAATATACTTTTATATGTGTTTAATAAAAGATTTAAATAATTTAAATAATATTAAATATACATTATATTTCTTCTTGTAAAAGTTTGTCAAACAAATAAAAATTTATCTCAAGATGTTTAAATTATAGCTTGATATTTTTCACTAAATAACTTTATATGTATATATATATTATATATATATATATATATATATATATATATATTTATATTCTAACTGAAATATTTGTTATAAACGCTAGTGTGAATAATCTTTGTACAAAGCTTAAAAAATGAATGTATCACAACTTTTTCATAAACGATGTATAGTACGCATTGATCAAAAGGTCATTCAACTATTTTATTTGTATGAGTTCAAGCTTATTTTGTACATGTCACGGTGCTATAACGCAAAGGAATGCACATTTTTCTATAGTATCAATAGATGAAAGAAAAAATGATATTCGCTATATATACAATGACTTTTCACAACTTGTCAAAAGTATAAATGTGTTCAGACATAAAATGTATACGTATTTATGTATTTTTACATCAGCAGTTAATTTATAGTAAAAATAATTTTAACATTCCAGTAATTTTTGCTAAATACCATCTGGTACAGCAATATATCATTACAGTCAGAAAAATAAAAATTTTAAAATCAAAAGAAAAAATCTGTAATATATTGTTCAACATTGTTACATAATTACACATATACAGGGTATCTCCTTTTAAAATTTATAGTGCTATATCTCACAAACCAATGATTTTAAAGAAAATGTTTTAAATTAAAGTTCTTTGACTCAAAGGGGGACATAAAATGATGCCATTGGTTTGACCTTGGATAATTATTTGACGGTCACTTGAAAATCACCTTTAATTTTTTAAACAGAATTCCCTATTTTTTATTGCTTATTCTTATAGCTTATTTCGAGAGCTTTCCAAAACACTATAATAAAGTATTTTTTTTTAATACTTTAGTACACTATAATAAAGTATTTTTTTAGTTATAAGACTTGCAATAATTTCTTAATTTTACATAAATCATAAAATATCTAGTAAAATATTCATTTTTCGATTATCTTATCTTATATAATACTTTTATGTACAAAATAATGAGAGGAATTAATTGGTTAAAGAAAGAGCAGCTGTTTTAAAGAAAAAATATGTAATTGTTAATTGCAAATTACATATTTTTTCTACGAAACAACTATGTGTTTAACTATGGTTTATATAAAATTTAGAATTATTTCGAGCCTCATAACTCGAAAAGTACTGAATGAAAAAATACTTTATTAGAGCATTTTGAAAAGTTTTCAAGGTAAGCTACAAGAATGTGCAATGAGAAATAGGAATTTCCATTTAATAATTTGAAGGTGACTTTCAAGAAATCTACAAACGACAAAATCAAACTAATGACACCTATTATGTCCCCCTTGAAACCATGCAACTTTTGTCTGAAACATTTTTCTCTAAAATCATTGGTTTGCGAAATATAACTGTAAACTTTAAAATGAGACACTCTGTACAATGTGCTATCAATTTTTATTTTTTCTGACTTTCAAGATTATGTTTATTCAAGATTCATGTAATCTTGCAATAATTTGGAAAAATTATATAAAAATTCGAATTTTTTCTTTTAATAAATGGATTGAGCATTTCCCAATATTTATCTATCCAATTAGTGAATTATTACTTGTAATTTCTAAATTCAATAAAGAAATTTATAATAAATCCAAATATAAAAAAATAATCTTCATTATACATAATTCAGAACGTTTCATAATATTAATATTATTCATATATATATAATTATATATGTGTATATATTATCTAGATTTCACACTAAATTTGGATGAAACAAAAATCTTTTTGCAATTCATCCATGTCAAGAGGTATGATTCAACACAAAATTATCGAGTGCAAATTTACAAAAGAGATAGTGATTCCTAAATATGTCAAACCGTATATGACAGTGGTGTTGATGTTGATTACAAATCAAACATTAGTCAGTCTTTAATCTCTTAGGTGCAGATTCGCTATTTTGCGAATTGGAATCCTCCGAGAAACCCAAATGTGCAGAAAAATCTGTTAGTCCTTGGGAATCACTAACAGTGGAAAAACCTAGGAAAGAAATCATTATTTTATTAATCAGCAACAACAACAAGTTTCTCTCAAATTAAAGCCAACTGTTAAAGACAAACTTACATGTATTGGAATCTTCTGTAAGTCCAAAATTAGAATTTGATGAATCTACTCCTTTTCTCGGTAAGCCATTCTCTTTATCGGAAACAGTTTTACTTTTTTTCTTCTGCAACGTAAAACATTTACTCTTGTAATTTGTTTTTATTAACATAAATTTACTGTTGGCTGAAATTATCTTCTTACATACCTGATCAAGAGTCGAAATTGGAACCCATTTGTATATTTTCATAGTTGTCTCTCCTATAGTAACCCATTTTTTTTCCCTATAATATACAGTCAGAATTCTAACTATATTTATAATTATATTTATTCTTATATAAATAATAATATTAACAGAAGATGAAAGAAAAGCATTGGCTATTTTTTACAGTAAAACAGAATATATTTTTATACATTTGTTCTTGTTTAATGACAAATAATCCAATTATATAATGAATAATGTAACGAAGAAACATTACATACATATAAATATATGTCAAAAATTGTAACACGTGATACATTGGAAAATAAACTGTCATTATACAGGGTGTCTCAAAACTCATAATCAATTTTTCAAAGACAGATTCCTGGGATCATCTGAAGACGATTTTTCCTCAACGAAAATGTCGAGGCACTAATAATTTTCGAATTATAAGTGACTGGATATAAGGGGTTTTTCGTAAACTAAGCTTTGTAGAAATAAAATATTAACAAAACCACATTCTTCGAATTTTAAATAGAGTTTACTTCAGTTGAGTTTTAATTTAAAGCTTAATTAGATATTTGAAGCAAAGATATTTGATGACAAAAATCGAGAATATGCAAAAAATGATGGCCTTCATCGACATTTTCACTGAGGAAAAATCGTCTCCAAATGATCCCAAGAATCTGTCTTTGAAAAGTTGATTATGAATTTTGGGACACCCTGTATACAAAGCATAGTGTTATAAAGTAATCAAGTAATATTTACTTTCAACAATTAGATTCATAAGATGTGATATTATTTACCACGATCTTTTATTCAGGAACAAGTACTTCAACTTTAAACGTTAATTAATCTAACATTCTAATTATTGTTTCATAAAAAAAAATAAAGACAAAATTTCTCTCTCATATTATCTTTTGAATGAAGACAAATGACAAACGCAAGAATCGACAATTCTGTCCCTCTCTGAAGCTATATAGCTCTCAGAGCATACTCACCAGTGACGAACTTTATCAACTACCTGCATCACACGTTTAATATCATCCTTGGCACGACTACGGGTCTCTGCGCGCACTGACCGCGACATCATATTATTGTTTCTCGCGCGATTAAATCACCGGTAATCGATTATTGCACCAGTCACTGCACCAAAAACACCGGGACATTCGTGACGCGCGAGTGAAGTGGACAGGTTAGAAAAGTGACAAGAAGCTACGAATACCGATTGCTTCTTGCTCGTATGCATATATGTATCAACACTACTCCATCCCGCATCGAAGTAGAGACATGCACATGCAAATTGAATACGCTTGCGCCTTGCGCTTGACGATTCGCACATAGACATAATAGTGTATCTAGAGGTTTGTTCGCGTCGCATGCTCCAATGTACACTGAGCGACCACGATTCGTTCCTTGCCCCTCTCTCGCGGGGCAAGGGGAGCGTAGAAGTGACCAATCAGCTGGCAGCGTGGCAGTGGCTGATTGGTTAGAGGCTACGCTCCCTTGCCTCGCGAGAGGGACCGCGGAACGAATCGTTGTCGCGCAGTCTACATACATACATGGAGCATGCTCCTAATTGCTCCTTAAGGCGTCTTTAGATGGAAACGTTTAAGGCCGCAGCACACACTTTTGCATAAGCGCATAACCATAAGCATAAGAAAATTGATTGGTTCATTTTCTTATGCATATACTTGGGGACCAATCAAGTTCCTGTGTGTGCTGCGGCCTTTAGCGTCAAGCGTCGAGCGTCAAAAACACGTGCGCAGCACCCTTAAGGTGCGGCCTCATTGACGCTAAAAAGTAGCGTCAACAATTGGTTGAACAAAGAAGCAATTACTTACTTCTTTGTTCAACCAATGGTTGACGCTACTTTTTAGCGTCAATGAAATTGCACCTTTAAGATGCGGCCTCATTAACGCTAAAAAGTAGCGTCAACCATTGGTTGAACAATGAAGCAACTATACTTACCTCCTTGTTCAACCAATGATTGACGCTACTTTTTAGCGTCAATGAGGCCGCACCTTTAAGCGGCCTTTTCATTGACGCTAAAAAGTAGCGTCAACCATTGGTTGAACAAAGAAGTAAGTAGTTGCTTCTTTAGGTTTGTTTTTTATTCCTGCACTGGCTGCACTAGTTCAAAAAGTGTACACTAAAGCGTTCGTTATTCCAGAACTGGTGTAACCGATACCGTTCGTTATTCCAGTGCAGGAAAACTTAGTGCACGAGTTCACTGAACTGGCTGCACTAGGTCCGGAGGTAGTGCAAGCAGTGTAGAGCAACCAAGGAGGTGTTTTTTATTCCTGTACTGAATATAGCCGGCAATTTCAAAATTTAAAGGTTAATGTAAGTATAAAAGTAGAAGTTTTTTTGGATCAAAAAAATTTTACAAAATTTATATTTCAATATATATATATATATATATATATATATATATATATATATTGAATGTATATATATATAATGTTTACAATTTATATAGTAAAAATCCAGTTGAGTAAAATATAAAATTTGTAAGGTTAGAAAATCTTAATCTGTGAAATCTAATAGTAATTTTAATAATTTTATTCTAATAGTAATTTTAATAATTTTATTTGAAACATATGTATATATAATATTTACAGTAAAAAACAATATGGCAAATACAGAAACAGCAAGAATAAAAAAAGATGCCATAGGAAATATTTTAGTGGATCAAACTGGACACGTAACATGCATTTCTGAAGGTATTAGAATTATCTAATATTTATTAAAGCAGACACAGTAAATATTTGGTAAAATTATGTTATTAATGTGACGCGCCATATTTTTGCACTGCTTTACACTAGTTTACACTATCGTTTTCTACTCCCGTCTGCACTCTCAGTTCTCGCTTGCACTGGCTCAGTTCTAGTGCAGAACTAGTTCAGTTCAGTGTAGGAATAAAAAACAAACCTCTAGTTCAACCAATGGTTGACGCTACTTTTTAGCGTCAATGAAATTGCACCTTAAGATGCGGCCTCATTGACGCTAAAAAGTAGCGTCAACCATTGGTTGAACAATGAAGCAACTATACTTACCTCCTTGTTCAACCAATGATTGACGCTAAAAAGTAGCGTCAACCATTGGTTGAACAATGAAGCAACTATACTTACCTCTTTGTTCAACCAATGGTTGACGCTACTTTTTAGCGTCAATGAGGCCGCACCTTAAAGGTGCAATTTCATTGACGCTAAAAAGTAGCGTCAACAATTGGTTGAACAAAGAAGCAACTACTTACTTCTTTGTTCAACCAATAGTTGACGCTACTTTTTAGCGTCAATGAAATTGCACCTTAATGGTGCAGCCAGTTCACCTAACCTAATCTAACCTATATAAAAAAAAACCAATAATGGACAAATATACTTGAAAACACGCTGCAGTATATATTATTGTCAATTGTAGTGTATTGTAATATTAAACAATGTTAATTTTATTATCACAGCATTATGAACACATTCTCAGTTGCACTACAGTTTAAGTATGTATATTTGATAAAAGATAATTGATAATTTCGTAATACAAATACTAATAACAGAGTCGTTAAATATTTTAATAAAATAAATAAATGTTAAAAACTTAAAAATTTATAATTATTGTTTACAAAAGAAAAAAATATATAACAATAATAACAATTCAATTTTCGAGACATCTTAAATAGCACTTTATTAAATATTTCATTATTCATCATGTCATAATAATTTGTCACTTATGTACTGTTTTGTAATTAATATATTTTTTTCATTTATATTTAATAATTTACTTTCTATTGGTTTTTATTAATTTTATTATATCATTAATTATATAAAAAATTTATTTTGAAGGAAAAAAAATGGGAAGAGCTTGTTGTGTTTCTGGCTGTGATTCTGGAGTTAAAGTTCCATCACATAAGTTCCCAAAAAATCCAAAAAGATGTGCTGAATGGATCAATAATTTAAATTTAGAACATTTAAAAAATTATGACAGTAGCAGTTTGCAAAAATTTAAAGTTTGTCATAAACATTTTCGTGAAACAGATTATAGTTTTGCTCCACATAATCATTTTTTGAAGGATACAGCAATTCCATTTATAAAACATACTACAGTTATGGACACAATAACTAACAATTCGGAGCAACAACAATCACAACAATTTAATTTATTACTAGAAGTTAAAAATATAGAACAAATTAAAATTGAACCGCAGGAGACATTAGTTCAATATCAAATATATAATGAACAACAATATAAAGAGACAACAGAAAATAAACAACAAGAAAATATACAAATCCCGCAAATAAAAGAAGAAAACCTTTTTCAACAAGTCATACATGTAAATAATCAAGATGTAAATAATCAAGAACATGTAAATAATCAAGAAAATAAAGAAGATCCAAAATTATTCAAGCTAATCCAAGATCATGAATATCGATTAAACAAGTTAGAAGAAAAAGTTGACTTTATTTTGAACTCTTCAAAAAGAAGAATATGGAATAGACCAGATTTACCAAAAATAACATGTAAAGCTAAGCTTACTCCCAAAGTCAAAAGTTTATATGGAACAATAATAAAATTAAGACGAGATAAGAGACGTTTACAACGTCTTTTACAGCGTTTCAGGGAAGAGAATGCAAGAAAAGGACAAAAGACTGTCTCTCTCAAAAAATGAAGATAAAACTAACTTTAAAAATCCGAGAAAGGTTTATCAATATGATTTTTAAGAAATGATAATATTCCTCCTCAGGTATTTAACTAATATTGAGTTCTAAAAAAGTAAAATGTTCTTACTTTCTGAATTAATATTTTATTAAAACATTAGAATTTATGTTATACATAATTTAACAAACAAAAGCCAACAAATAATTGTCATGTTAATAATTCGTGAAATTAATTTGTATATTTATAATATGTATATTCTTATTTTTATGACTTTATAATTATATTATTCAATGTGATATTCACATATATCACATATTTTATTATATATATTTTAGTATACTTTATTCTTTCTACATAAAATTTTTTATTAATTTTTTATAATAATTTCCTTCCTTTTTCATTATTTGTAATAATTTCCTTTTTTATTATTTTCCATTATTTGTAATAATTTCCTTCTTTTTAATATGTATATATTTTTAGACTAGACGATATACTATCGAAGATAAAGCATTTTATATATATAAAAGATCTCCATTCTTTAATTTTCTATCTAAATATTTACTCTATCCATCTATTATGACTTTAAATTCTCAACTATCCAATATTCCTTTATTTACTGGATGTACTCGATTAATAGTGAAATACTTGAAACATATATAAAGAAAAGATTTTTATAGATGAAAAAGATAAATATATTGCTTTAATTTGAGATAAAATTTTCATACAATCTACTTTATCATATGATGAAAAGCATGATAAAAACATTGGTTTCGAAGATTGGGGTACGAAGAGAAGTAGAAAAATAGCAGATGCTATAGTATTTTATTTAAGGAGTTTAAAAACAGAAAATAAGATGTCATTGGGAGATTTGCAAAAATAGCACGTTAACTCAATTAGTACGGTACATAAAAGAAATGGTTACTAAATATCATCATAGTTTAATAATTATTGCTACCAATATGCAACCAAAGTAGTCCAAATGTTGCTGCAATAAATTATGGAATAGAATATAATACAATTCGCATAATGAAAGATTTACATATAAGTAAGACCATTAAATATATGTAAAATATGTTTTTCTTTATAAATGTATATATTATTTAAAAAATATAAATTTATTTTTCATTAATTTTAAATTAAAGATTTATGAAATTTAATTTATTAAAAAATTATTAAATTATAAAAATTTATTAAAAATAGTTAAAATTTTTTTATATTGTATATTATAAAAGTTTTATAATAAAAAAAAAGAAATAGTGCCAGTTTATAATATTGTGCATTTATTAAAAGGAATTAGAAATAATTTTTTAACAAAAGACCTAGATACAGACAACTATTAAATTTATGGATGAAATGAAATATGTATCATGAAATCATATCATTTTAACATATGAGATTGACAAACAGTCAGTATATTGAGGCAATGTCAACTGCCAAAAATAACGAATAAGCATATTGATTCACAGCTTATATCCAAAATAAAAATAAAATGTACAAAAAGTTTTTAGTAATACTGTTGCAAATTTTATGTTATCTTAAATTTAAATGAAAGTTTAAAAGAAAAACAATATTGTAAATAATGAAACATAATATTATATCAACATATAATATTATAACATTAATAATATAACAATTATAACGATAATATAATATAACATTTAATATTTTATTTCTTCTATTTCATTATTTGTTAAGTCTTTAACTATTTATTTTAAACTGTATTGCAATTCATTTTCAATTATTTAATACGATAATATTATTAATTATCATTTGTTGTTTCAGGAATTGTCAAAACATATGAACATGAGAAAATGAAATAATACAATTACCAAAAAGTGCTGCAACAACTTTGGAAGTTATATTATTTTTTAATAACTTACTCGATTCAATTAACGTTCACAAAACATCAAGAATTAAGCAGCATATTATCATCAGTAGTGGGCATATCGAATTTTGGTGAGAAGCTTGCGAGAAATTAAAAAAGATGCAATATATATTTTAATAAAGAAACACATCAAATTCCGAAAAGGGATTATTTAAACGAGCCATTTGTATCACAATATGTATTAAACATGCTATAAAAGTTGCAAAAATAAAACTAACAAGTATCTGCCATGAACTTCAACTTCGAAAAATTAACAAAAATAAACGATCTCTCTCAACAACTTGTACATACATTTCATGTTATAACATGTTATAAAACATTGCTATTAACAATAATTGTAGAACAAGTCATTAAAACATAGTTCATGGTATTTGTAAATAATATTTTGTTCGGAAAAATTCAAAATTTTGAAAATTACATATGTAAAACAGCTTAAAATTAAAAAAATCATGACAGTTTAAAATCAAATGGATATTTCCTCTCCGTCGTTCAGGGAGTCCAGTATAGGAGGAAATTCCTCAACCCGTTCGTCCCATTGTGGGTCATGGGGAAACAACTCATCAATCATGCTGAGGATATTGAGCGGTAGCATTTCGGATATGCATAGGGATGATCTCCGAAGTCTCTTTAAAACAATTCGATAGGGTAGTCCCCACGGATCGTTATTTATAGATTGTATAAGCTCCGACCATGCCTGATCCTTGGCTCTCTTGATCTCATTGCGTAATGTGACTCTCGCATCCCTATACGCAGCCTCAGCTTCTAGTAACTGCTCTTGAGCTGGTTTTTGCCGTCTTCTTTTACACCTCTGCCATCTTCTTCGGGCCTTCCTGCATGCTATGCGTAATTCCGCAATAGTGTTGTTCCACCAGCAGGCCTGGTGTCTTTTAATTTCCTTGTCCCGAGGCATGGATACATTACACGCATCGACTAAGGCGTCTGCCATCCAATATGCCGCTTCTCTAGCCGTACTAATGGTAGGAATACCTACACACTTCCACTCAAGAACTTCCCGAAACAGTTCGAGGTCCATCTTTTTATGATTCCACTTTACATATTTTTTCTTTTTGTGGATATCTATTACATCTTCGTGCCCGTCCTCGCTAGCACTGTACATGCTTGCGTTACCATCTCTGCACATATTCATCTCATCAATATTTACACCATCAATATACATATCTTTGTACATATTTACATTCTCCTCATTGTCATCATGTCTATTTACATTATTTATTTCTATATTAAACATAATATATAAATAATCCGAATGTGTGAATTCCTCTGGTACTCTCCAACAGTTATGTACCGGTATATATTAGCTGTTGACTATGTAATATCGGGGATTGCCCGATTAGACACAGTATGATTAGACACAGCCAATCATATCGACCGATGCCTAGGGAGCGTCCCGTTTGACCACGTTGCGATTGACCACAGCCAATTATATCGACTTGTGCCTAGGGTAACCAGCAACGATTAACCAATCAGAGAGTCCTATTTTGAATTGGCCAATTGGCGACGTGGTCAATCGGGTGCCACCCGATGCCTAGGGTAACCATCATGATCAAGCACGATTAGCCAATCAAAGCCAGTTATGTCCAATTGTACTGTGTCTAATCGGAGTAGAGCACTAAATATACAGGTATTCTATACTCCGCCATTTTTAATCCATTCCCCCTCCTTGTTTCTCGTGTCACTCGCCTCGTCGCTAAGCTGAGATTATAGTAGATAGGTTAGTGAGATTATGAATGGGTGGGGGGATGGATTAAAAATGGCGGAGTATAGAATACTCATATATTTAGTGCCTTAATCGGAGGTGTCTCGTAATATCGACAACAGAGGCCGGTATTCACAGTCCGATCTTATATTTGAGATCGTCTTAAGTTCGAGCTTGAAATGCTACGCAGCTATTTGATTGGTTGAAGGAGGTCTTAAGTCAACCTCGGACCAGACTTAGGCCCGGTTTCACCAACGTGATTTAATCTAATCGATCGATTAAATTGGTCACCAGAATTGCCAATAACAAGACTTTAAAAACGAACGTCGCTATCCACGGACCTTGCTTCACAGAAAGAAAATAGGTTACGATCAGTTTTATTATGTTCAGCAGTTGGCAACTCTGACAGTTAATCGACCGATTAGATTAAATCACGTTGGTGAAACCGGGCCTTAAGACGATCTTAAATATAAGATCGGACTATGAATACAATCTTGTTAATCTAGTGACTTTATGGTACACATTTTTAACACAGGAGTCTCTCCAGCGCTATTATTTGTGTCTTCAATTATGCCGTCCCCCACCATGCCTACATTTACTGCTTCGTTATTTGAACACAGAAAAAACATGGATATTTGAACAATTAAATTTGTATGTATTATGCATATTAAAATATCAAGATAAGTTCGTTGAACAACTTCTTTCATAAGTTTTGAACAAGATTCAACGATGATTGTTTAATTTAATTTTTACTGTGTTACATTAATCTGTATTCTAACCTGTATCCCCAATTTTTAATGCTCTCTTGCGTGCTCGACACGTGTTCGGCAAATAATTAATTTAATTTTTTTTTATGCAGAATAAAAATTGCGTTAAGATAAAGTCTGATAAGCATGAGCGAAGCCAAGGAAAAACAAAAAAACCATGAAAATTCGTGGATGGTACTTTACACTTCTTATATGTATTACACTTCTCGTCTTTTTATCGAATATCATATCAATTTTATATTTCTTTGTTAGATAAGGCCGTGTATGATGTACAAGGCCGAATATGACGATTGTACCAGTATAAAAGTTCGTTTCAATCAATATTTCATATTCGGCGAAACGCTCGATTGTAGCCAATGGAAGACTGATTATGCCAACTGTTATGAATGGGAAAAAAATAAATCGGAAAAAGCATACGTATGAGCGATTTTATTCTGTAATTTTAACGATAGCTCCAATGTATCACAAAATAATGCTCTGGAAAATCGCAGGATGAGCTGATCTTGAGCGAGAAGCAGCGCAGAAGAGAGCGTTTAAGCGCGCATTATCAGAACAACGTCTGGGAGAGAAGAGAGAAACCACCAGAGAACTGGAACGCTCCTCTACCCGAATGGATGCAGAAGGAGTTCGAGAACTCGTATCTACATATAAAGAATGAAGAGATGAAACAGGGCAAGGAAACTTCTCAGCTCAATTCAAGATGCACTATATTGTAACGATAAGTGACGTATTTGATCTTTAAGATTAAGTATAGCATGTACATATGTGTATATATACATATTTATTATATAAACCTAATTATTACATATAATGATATATACAGGGTGTCACTTAATTGGCGCCCACTATTTGTATAGCGATATTCCTCATGGAAAATTGAGTCGAAAAGTCCTGAACCATTTTTTCTATGATGAAAAAAATTTGAAACCATTTTTTTGAAATCATTTTTTCCTTCTATAACAGAAGAAATATGATTTTTAATGCGAAAAACTTTATTTTGCATTAAAAATCATATTTCTTCCGTTAAAAACGTTTCCTTAAAGAAAATTTCATCAAGGAGGCTAAAGGTCGGTGCTTATTGGCGCAACTTTACGTAATTACCGCTTTATTAAGCATAGAAAAAAATGGTTCAGGACTTTTTGACTCAGTTTTCTACGAGGAATATCGCTATATAAATAGTGGGCGCCAATTAAGTGACACCCTGTATAAGTTAAGTTTTGTAGTCTTCCCATTCAAACAATCATTTGTTGTTAGGATTTTTATTCTCGACTGCTGTCAACCTATGGTTGGCAAAAGGCGGAAGAAATATGCGTTTCACCGAGCTCGGATTGATTGTCAACAGTATTCTTGATAACTGTAAAATAATAAGATATTATCTTTTATGCCAATTTCTTATTAATCAAGAAGGTTTCAAGCATATCATATATTTATCATATATTTCGTCAAGAGCTATGCAATCGAAAAAAGAATGAGAATATTAGGGAAAAAAAAGATTGCAAAAGTATTTTCATACATCAAATTGTTGAATTGTTTATCGCCTCAAGGAATGGAGTCAGAAAGTTGGGATTCTCATATTTTCTCTCTCTTAACATTCATTTCACAGTGTTTCGCTTAACGGACGAAAGCCCGAGAAGGAAATACATAATGATACATTTCCCGCCAAGTAATCCTTATCGTGATGAATGACACATACGCAGCTGCGGGTCGGCAAACTCCGCGCATGCGCAACGAAGGCTGGTCCCTCTAAGCGAAACCACCGACTACGATGAGTGAATGCAAAGTGTATAACGTCACGCCGATGTCGAGGCATGCGCAGTCGCGTCCTCCACCGACCGACAATCTCAATGTACCTCATTTTTCCATCACGATCGCAAAAAAATACTCCGATTCTGGGAGTCTAATAAAAGGAAAGCGTCGAGGGAGGGAGTGAGAGGAGCGGAACCCAGACAGCGCAAAAAGGCCAAAAGATGTCTAAAGGATTTAAGACGTCTTTAAGTTGTCGTTTAGATGTCTTTTGGACATGTGTGCTGTCTGGGAAGGGACGCTTGACGTTTCGAAGGCGCTGCGCGCGCGCGCGCGCCTCATCCCTGCTCCACCTCTCGCACCCTTTCTCCCGTTCCACGGGAACGCTGCGGCTGCCCGTACTTGCGTGTGTACGTGCATACGCAGCGCGTGCACCCGTAGTATCCGATTGTCCGCAGTGAATGAATGACGTAACGTCTGTATACGGACATCGGTCGGGCTTTATCGTCCAAGTAAGACGGTAGAGTAAGCCAGAGGAGACAGGGCTGGGTTGGGTGTCGCTCCGAGACTTATTGCGCGTCTCGGAGCATTGTGCGCGCGCCGCGCGTTTTTCGCGGCACGTGCAGCGCGTAACAGTGCGAGACGTAATGGCCACGGACTGCGTGGTTGACGGGGATTACCTGGGTGCGTACTCGCGCTTTTTTGCTGAGTTCGTCGCCCGGGTGAACCCGAACGATCAGCTACCGGTGAAGGTGAGCGCTTACGACGTTGAGGAGAGCGAGCTGGTCGGTGAGATCATCAGCGTGACTCTACAGTACCTCAACAAGACGTAAGCATCAACAGACGCCTTTGCCTGTGGTTCGAATTAATTGTCGCGTGGGCGGGATGATGCTCGCCCTGTGTGTGTGTTTATGTGTGTTTGGCATTCCTCTGAAATGCCCGCGGCTCCGTGTTTCTTGCGAAAGAGCGCGAGTCTCGACGCTTTCGAAATCGTAGAGCTATTCGTAGGTAAAGCTTATCTCTGAGGAGTTCTTGAGATGGGGTATCTAGGATAAATATCAAAGAACATGTAAGACACAGAAATTTAACTAGTTTCCATGAACGTTAATTGGAGAATCTATTGAGATTTTATTGTTAGAAATAGACGAGAAAACAACAAACGAGTATCTTTAAGGATTTTGTATCTATTTTCAAAATATTGAGAAATTAATGAAAATTGTACAGAATGTCCTTACATATGTTTAAAATCTTTAGTACAATTTTTAAATCACTAAAGCGTTCACAAGTTATAAGGATTTTAATTTGCATCGAATTTGTGTTCTTGAGAAATTTGTGGTCTTGTGTATGGGAAACGTATTACGTCGATTCAAATGACAAAAACACATGGAAATAATATTCAGAATTTGTTTAAAATTTGCAAAAGTTTAGATACAGAGGAAATATTTGGTCAAATAATATTATACAAGTACTAACTGGTTAAAAAGATATTAAATATAATTCAATGAAGTTAGCCATTATCCGTCACAAGGCGAAATTCTTTGCCAAAAGTTAATCATTTCGATTAACAAAATTCGGAATATTTCATTAAAAACGCAATAAATATTAAAAAATACATCTCTGCACTGTAGCTAAGATCAAATTGTAATATTATTATATTATAATATTCGACACAATTTCTCATACTCAAAATACACCAAAAGTGAATATTCGTCAATATTGATTTTCAGTTACTTTTTGCTGGGATTGTACATACAAAACATCCTTAATCGTATTTGATTAATGATGTAATGATATTTTACACAAATACAAGTCTTTAAAATTGAAAAAATTAGTTTTATTATTAAGTTATAATTTTAATTAATTTATAAGTTTTTAGAATAAAAAAAATAAGTTTTTAATAAATAAAGAAAGATTTTTTTCTTGTATATTTATATTTATTCACGTTTATGGATTAAGGAAAGACATTATTTCTGACACAAAATATTTAATCAATTTTATGTAAAATAATCGCAAAAGTAGTGGCAAGAATAGTTTTCAAAAAGAGTAATTTATAAAACGTCTGTCACGTCCTCTGATCAGACAATCTTTTTTTATCCGTTGATTCATCATTTAATTGAAAGAGGTAATATTCTTTTTATTTGTTAGGTAATATCTTGACACACAATTTTTTTTACTTTGTATAGATTCATTGTAACGAATATAAAAATACTAGTTAAAAATAACATTCTTAAGGATATTAAATATATTAAAATTATACGGTTAATAAATTTGAATCTTTCAATGTTTCAGCTATTTATCAAATATTTTTTTCTAAAATTTAATATATTTTAAAACCAAATTGCTGAATAAATATTGCTTAGGAATATTTATGCAAAAATATTCTTTTTTGCATTTAAATTTTATTATATAATATTTCAAAATGCATCAGTTTTACACTTTATTATAGTAATCATTTTATTATAGTAATCATAAAAAATTACGATTATTTTATCTTGAAATTAAAATTTAAAAAATAATATTATAACCGTTCTCTTTTTAAAATTTAAGCAAAAAATCAAGTGTTATCAATAATATGAATTTTTTGTTCATCTCAGAGAAAGTTCTATTTAAATGTACATACATATAAATTTCTTAATCAATGTTGTATCGATAATGTAAATAACTTGTTAGAAGGGTGCAATGGAAGAACAATCTCTATCGAAATTACTCCTAAACAGAAATATAATAATTAACGTTTTCGAGACATCTATATATGAATTTGCAATAATCCATTTTTAAGATAAAGAGAAAAATAAAATCCGCTAATTTACGATATTTTCTCTTCTCGGTACAATATTTTCTCTTGTCAGCTCGAGTGAACGCAAATTTGTATCGCAGTTCTAGTACGGAAACGTCCGAGTGCTTTTAAAACCGCGAGAATATCTCGTGCGCGGTGTGAAAAAGTTAACACGCAAAAAAGTTACGCATAGTTGCACGGTGGATCACGCGAGGGGGAACGTATACATATACTAGGTAATTTACTTCAGAAACTTCGACATTCGACTTTTGAAGTTTCAGTGTTGAAATCTTCGAAGATCGAAATTTCGAAGCTTATATTTCGAAGATTATATTATCACGATAAATACACATTTATAAAATTATAAGATAAAATCTAAATAAAATGTTTCTAAATCTAAAAATTTTGATTTGCAATAATTTTTCATTTTTTCAAAATTAAAATTTAAATTTAAAATTTAAAATGTTTTAAAATTAATTTTTTAAATATTTTTTGGTCTACATATATGTATTAATTAATTCACTTTTATTTACAATATTTCCAACATTTCTTATGAAATGGCAAGAATATATTTTTCGAAATTTCGAAAACACCTCAACTTCGAGGCTTCGAATCTTCGAAGTTATCAAAAGTAACAGCTCCAGATTGTCATGGAATGAGAACTGCTTGCGTGCTGTTGACGTTTATCTGCCGCAAGTGAAACACGTGGCAGCGACACGAGGCTATCACTCTGTTTCATCGTCGTCGCGCTCGGAATGAAAAGGATAAACGACGAAAGATAAACGAGAGATAACGGAGCGAATGCAGACTTTTCTCGCACGCCTTGAATACTCGAGTTTGCTTCCTTCAGTCGTGCTCTTTCCATACTTCTTGTTGCGATTTTGTTTTTCTTTTCTTTCTTTCTCTGCCAGATTATTTTATTTATTTATTTATTTTTTATTTATATTTTATTTATTTATTTATTTTTTCATTTTTATTTTTTTTAATTTAATTTATTTTATTTATTTAATTTATTTAATTTATTTAATTTATTTTTTTTAATTTATTTTATTTTCTCTTCTTTATTATTATTCTTCTTTATTATTATTTTTTAATTTATTTTAAGCGAGGAAAAGAGAGCGTAATATAATTTAAAAAAAAAAAAGTTTTTCATTAGAAAGAGAGAGAGAGAGATACTTATTATAATTTTGAAAGATAGAGCGACTTATTATAATTTTGCAGATGCAATATCTATATTTGCTATTTCGCTTCTCTCTCTCTCTCTCTAATGTTTAAATTTGCGGAAAAATATTTTAACTTTTAATTATTTATATTAACTTATAAAACTTGCTAAAGCTTAAAACACTTTTATAATCAACAAGAAAAATCGATCAAAAAGTATGATCCTAAAGTTTAGTTAAATAATACATATAAATACTGTATAAACACTTTCCTGTAGAAAGTAAAGAGAATAATAAATATACGCATGATTAATTTCAGATATTGTCCACCGAGTTTGCAATCATATATAGTTCATCTCGTGATACAAGCAATCAAATCAACATGCAAGAAGCAACCCGAAATCTGCGGATTGAGACAACAAGAGAAGAGTAAGTTTATTTTTATTTATTTGATATTAATGGGATATTTATGGGAAAAGAAATTCTTTGACAAAATAAACGTAATATAAATGAAATGATTATACATACATTCAGAAAATGGTCTTGCAATTATAGTAACAATTTTCTAAATGTAAAAAATTAACTGAAGTAGATAAAGAATAATCAAATGCTGGTATATTGCATATATCAATATAAATGGATAGAAATAGAATTTATATCTAAACTGTTAGTGAAATTTACAAAGAAATTCTTCCTGTGACGTCTATCTATTAAGGTTAATCATACTTATAAAATTTGATTATGCTAAATTGATAAAATTCAATTATGATACAGAAAAATTGTTCCTCACAAGGATCGTTCTAACTAATATCAGAACTAATATTTATCCAATTCATTGGCTAAATTTTTCAGAAGATTAACATTTAGGATTATTAGAATTTAGATTAGAATTATTAAAATTTTCTACTATAAATTTTTCAATGTTACAATGTTACAATATTTTAGCAAATAAAAAATAGCGATTTTTGTCGTACCTTATATCTAAGGATCTGCCTATGAACGAAACAGTTTGTAAGTGAATCGAGAAATATTCGCTGAAGGCGCGAAATATGAGTCACTTGGTGATAAGTCTCGAAAGTGATATCCGAGCGAGTTCATTTTCTTAATTGTAAGATCTTGATAAGATAAATAACAAATGAGAGAGAAAAAGAATTCAAAGGAAAAGAAAGAGGTGGCTTTTCGAATTCGGGAAAATATTCAAAAATGGACTTATATTCGTCTAAAAAGCTTGTAAGAAACAATTGAAACGAAATAACTTACATTCCATATTTAATCATCATCAGTGTTTGCTGTAGATAATTTCAAAATTATTTAGATAAAGATAAAGATAAAAATCTGCAAATTTATCTTAAATGAGAGAAAGATGATTTTGCTTTTACTTAATCTAGATGAAAGATGAGATAATTATTGCGATAATCTAGATATTTATCTAGATATTATCTAGATATTATCTAGATATTTTTGTTTATTTTAGAAGACTATAAATATTTGTAAAAAATGTAACGCAGATTATAAATGGCATATTAAAATCATAAACACATATTCTTTCTCTTTTCCTAAAGAATATTTAATATTATAAAAAAATAATAGCAAAAAGGTATATAAATGATATGATAAATATTTATTAATTTATATTTATAATATATTTATAATATATTTATAATATATTAATAATAATAATATAAAAAATATATTTTAGATATTTTAGATAGATTTTTAGAAGCTTGCCTGGAAAACTTTTTTGCATAATAAAAACGTCATCTTAGACAATTTTTAGATAAGATGACATATATTTTTCATCTAAGATAAAGATAAAGATACTTTGTATTTCTTCATCTAGTTAAAGATAAAGATGATCCATTTCTTTATCTAGATGATTATCTAGATAATTTTATCTAGATACCAGCAAACACTGTTAATCATTATACTCCATTTTTAATCATTATAATTTTTTTGCAGCGTACGCACCTTTGAAGCTCATGCAGGCTATCACAAACGAGGTAAACGAGATCTGCAGGCGGTATTTAGACAACAGCAGGCTGGCGCTTCTGCCACCGCCTTCGTCGACTCCACAGGTGACGGTGGGTGCCACCAGGAATTCTAGGAGAAAAATGGAGGACCGCCATGTGGTCCTACATGACTTGCACACTATTTTTAATATTCAAGTAAGGAGATTTGGCAAAAAGTTTCACAGCAATTAAAATTAAAATCAGAAATTATAATACTAAGATGTGCATTTCAAAAAATAAGATTCTCTATTTTATTACAATTTATGCATAAATTGGGCTTATTGTATCAAAATAAAAGCTAATGACTATATTTTATCCGACATCTTGAGACGAGCTTGAAGATTCCCTCTCGGCAAAAATCCGGCTCTTGATGTTTAAATCATTCTTGGACAACATTCTGTGCTTAACATTCTCTCTGCTCATCAAGGAAACAATTCGAAGAAAGATTGACCGCAACATTATGAAGCATCCTCCTTACAGCCTGGAATCTGTCTGATCATCATTCTTTTCGATTTTCATTTGCTTGTACAATAAGAAGTATCTTAGAGAAAAGCAATATCCAGATGATGAAGTGGAATAGAATCATATTAATAATATTGCTCAAGAATAGCCGAAACATCAATAGTCGGATTTTTATCAAGCATAACAATGTTAACAACATAACAAGACAATTTCCTCGTAAACTATATTGAAAAGTAATCGCTAACTTATATTTTAACACAACAAGCCTAATTTGTGCATAATAGGGAACCTCATTTTTTTTATTTATTCTTATACAATTATTGCAATATGTACAATTATTATAATATTGTCCATCGCAGGATGACACGATTGCAAATTACTATGCCGTGTTCGACGGCCACGGAGGGCAGGACGCTGCGGCATATTGCGCAACGCATCTGCACCAGTATCTTGTCGAGAGCGTCCACTATCCTACAGATCCGGAAAGCGCGTTGCGCGATGCTTTCCTGATTACTGACGCGCGATTCATAGCGAAATCAAGTACACAGGTAAATATTTCTCGCATGTACATAGTACAGGGTTGGCATGTTTTAAACAATGTGTTTAAAACTGTTTAAAACTGATTAAAACTTGTTTAAAACTGATTAAAACTTGTTTAAAACAGTGTTTTATTTTAAACTGCTTTAAACTACTATTTAGAACCGTTTAAAATATTGCAAATAAAATATATGATTATTTGGAAAAGAAATTATTAAAAAAATCAAAGACAAACAAAAACTAATAGATGTGTATATTGCAAAAAAGTTTTTGTTTTAGTGTTTTTAGTTTTTTATCTATTTTTATGTAACACATATAGATATAAAAATATAAATAATAAAATAAAAATGTTAAGATGGGTATTATTTTAGCAGAATATTTATTTTTGGATATTAAATAACAATCAATACAATAAAGATTACTTAGAAGATATTGACTGACTTTACATTTTACATTTTAGCATTTTAAATTAATAGTACATAACTCATAGCAGTCAGTAGTTCTAAAAAAAAAATTCTTCTTTTAAAAAGAAGAATTGAGATTTTTATTTTTCTTTTATTTATAATTTACGTTGAGAGTTAAGCATGAGGTTATTTAATAAGAATAGGAAAGGAACCAAAGTATTATACATTAAATATTATTGCCTAGAACTTTTTTTCTCCAAAAATAAATAACTCCAAAAATAAATATTCTGCTAAAATAATACCCACTCTTATCATTTTTATTTTATTATTTATATTTTTAATTATATATATTTATAATTATATATTATAATTATATAATTATATACATTTTTAATTATATATTATAATATTTTTAGCGTTGTCAATTTTGGCAACGTTATTTACAATTCAACGCTAGCGAAAAATTTAAATATTTACACAGATCAAAGTTATTAAGTGTTTTTTGCTTGTTTAAAACATATTTTTTTTACTTTACTTAAAAACACAAATAAAACAAAAAACATTGTTCTAAACAAAAAAAACCAATGTTTTTTGTTTAAAATAAAAAAAACAAGTTTTTTTCCAATCATGACATAGTATTAAAATATTTCATTCACTCTTCCTATCTCGATATCCGATAATCTCTATCAACCATTTATTGTCTGCTGCAGAAATTGAACGGCGGAACTACCGCGGTGTGCGTGCTGATGTTAAATAAAAAGTTGTACATCGCTTGGGTCGGCGACAGCATGGCTTCGTTGGCCTCGAACGGCGACGTGATACAACTGGTGAACCCTCATCGACCCACACGAGAAGTGAGTAATCTGGATCTTTAGTTCAGTGTAATAGAATGAGATAAAAATGTAAGATAGTTTTACTTTCAGCATAATCCTATATTTATCATGTCTCGACTCTCAAAATATTCCGCTGCAACGCAAATAATGAATGCATAAAGAATATTCTCGTGAAATTCCGTAATTTAACTCATCAGATTATTATTGAATTTTTATTTTTATTGATAAGTTAAATGAATTGGAAAATGAATGAGAAATCCTTTTTGGAACACATACAAGTTTGAAGTTACAAAAGCTTAACTTTTGTACTGATGATTAAAATACTCCTCAATTGCAGTCGTTTTTGTTTTTTCATTTACATTTTTTCCTCAGAGACAAGATTAATTTTGTCATTCATTTTTTGAAACATTTAATCAGCGTAATAAATTGAATGCTATTGACATTTTCAATTTCCAAGGATGATTTTGCTTCTGACCCACATGATCGTACAATATCACGTGCTCATAAAACGGACAGTGTATCCGTACTCTCGTTGTCTGCACACCGGGTGACGCTGCAATCGGATCGACGATAATCACCTGTCTGTCGTGAATATTTTTAAACAACAAGCCACGTTTGGGGTCTACAATCGGCACATAATTGCGGCTTTCGTTCAAGCACGTCCTCCCCGTTCTCCAATGATGATACGCAAGATCTCGCTTATGCGGCGACAATTTTCTCTCGCCACGATAATACGGCAGCCAATTTTCCGATTCGAGTCGGTCGGCGAAATCGATGTAGGCCGACTCCTCGAATTGTCGTAGATTTGTTGCGAAGTGACGGATGAACACGATGGTCGACACAAACCCTAATCTGTTGGGTCTCTCGCGTAGACCGAGTTCTTGCATTAACCTATTGGTGGGCGTTACGTATTCGCAGGTGAGTATGTAAGGCCGATGAACGGGGAACAGCAGATTTTTCACGATTCGTAATCGACGATAGAAGCTCTTTTTGTTCAGGACCTCGCCGATACAGCGGTAACCGAGCTCGGCCAATTGCCGTGCGGTTTTACTGCTTCGAACGTAATAGATGTCTATCGGACTCACCAGCGAGTCTAAATATTCTTCGTAATTTTGAAAATCCAGCAGTCTTCTATCACTATCAGTCTGAGTCCCGATGACTGTCATGTTGAGAAAAAGATGGATTTTCAAACCAATAATTTTATGTTGTCAACGAGTTTGAAATACCTTGTCCTATATAAACAATCGAGGCGCGTGAAACACATCCAAGTGAGAATATCGAAGTATCGACATGTTTGACACCTGTATTTATCGCGAGAATATTATGCTCGCGCTACATTCGATTTTTATTGACACTGTCACATATACAAGACTTATCGAGGCAACGATGCGTTCTATTTTTCACGATCTGTTTTTCTCTCTTAGGACGAAAGCGAACGAATCCGCAAAATGGGAGGAGCCGTCGTCAATTGTATGGGAGTCATGCGAGTAAATGGATTTCTCAGCATATCTCGAGCTATAGGTAAGTTATTGCACAACGTGGATATACAGGATGGCCCTGAACGTTCCAGCCAGACTTTGAGATCTTATAGGAAATTTAATTCTAAACAAAAAATTTCCTATAAACATGAGTCAAAAAATGCTTCCTTAAGAAGTTATCGCGCAAAAACCTCAAAAAAATCAAAAAGAATAAAAAGAAAATGAAACTAAATAAATTTCTTGAAAAAAACGATAAAAATAAAAAAATAAAAATCTTTTTCTTTTATGAAGATAAAATAATTTTTTTTAAACTAATATTTTGGTAATAGCACGTAATAGTAAAAAATGAATAAAGACGTTTTTCAAGAAATTTATTTAGTTTCATTTTTTTTTAATTTCATTTTCTTTTCACCTTTTGCTCTTCCTTCATCAGAGCTTTTTGAGCGATAACTTCTTAAGGAAGCAATTTTCGACCCATTTTTGTTTATTGAAAATTTTTTGTTCAGAATTAAATTTCCTATAAGATCGGAAAGTCTGGCTGGAACGTTCGGGGTCACCCTGTATATGTTTCCTTTATTAATTATGATAAATTTTATATTTTTAATTTTTTTTATATCTCATGTAAAAACATTTACAACGATTGTGTATAGTGAAAATGGAAAAATATATTTTTTTACTTTATCAAATTCTTTTAATAAGATTTTCATCATTCATTTACCAGTCGATCTTTGCGAAAGACGCGCTACGAAATTAATGTACAGATGGAGACAGCGGTCGTTCGTGACAGTATGGCCGAATGGATTCCTCCAAGATTATTTTTTCGTAATTTTTCAATTAAAAAAAAAACATGATGCAGTAGTAAGAAACGTTTACACATCATTTTGAGTCCTTTACAGGAAACGCGATAAAATCGCGATATCTATCTTGACAAATGTTGTATAATTCCATAGACTCTTATGAAAGAGATATTGATAAAATCGCACATAAGAGATTTAATATAATCTAACTCGTTTTTTTAGATTCCAACTCTCTTTTTAGGAATTTAAAGTTTAATTTTTGAATTTTTCAACATCAATTTGTCTCCAGAAAAGTGTATTAGATTAGAAGTATCAAAGATTTTGTACGTACGTGAAGAAGCATTCTCTGTTTTTTTCCCTTTTTTTACAATTTATAAATTTTTTTTCTTTTTGTACTTATAAAATCTGAATTTAACGGTTGATAAAACGAAATCAGTGATCATATTTTCGATAAATCCAAATTTCCATTAAACATAGATTAGTAGATGGAACAGTCTCTATTTCTTGGAGAAATATGGAAAACCTAGAATTCTCAGAGATCTTCTTTGTGGATAAATTAGAGCATTCTCATAGAATTTTGAGAACTCGGAGAATTTTTTAAAAAGTTCTTTGTGATAAATTTTGTTATCATAAAAAGTCAAATTCGATTTATGTATTTTAAACACATAAATATATTTGTCTTTGTTTATATATTCAATGTTTTAGTAAGATATTAAAAATATGTAGTATATTTTTTATTGTAATTTTTAATGATAAATAACGTTATGCAAGTTAAAGATTTATCTCATGAAAATTAATCAACTTTTTTTCAGTACATTTACAAATCTAATACTTGAAGCTTAAATAGATCTCTGTTTTTCCTTCGTATGAGTGGAAATCATTAGAAAAAATCTTATTTTAGAAAATTGCATCGAGGAATTTTTAAAGTATTTTTTTATCTCGAATTTTGGACAAAAATACTTGGAAGATTAGGGTATTTTTTTTTTACAAGATTTGAATGTAGAGATACTACTGATGCGAGACGCATCTTTTTCGCATCTACGAAAAATTTGACTTGTCGATTGGAAGAAGCGTTTGCTCCTGATCGCATCAAAACATGAAGTAAGACGACGGTTGCCCAATTACGGTTCGAGACGCGACGTGTGCACGTAAGTGCAAAGAGGAACGAGAAAAAATTCCGGCCACGTGTGTCGGGTATCCTGTTGGTTCCGTTTGCCCGCTGACACAATAGTACGTGCAGTTACGCTCCGGGAGCGCTCGAGCACCGAGTGGCTCGCATGTCCGGAATACAATTAAAAAGACTATTTTTGCTTCCATCTTTAGCATAGAGAGTGTGTGTGGAGAGACTTATGGCGCCGGACGTTTATAAATTTCAATGTTGTTGATCAGTGACCTTTGCCACGCAGAGAATCCTTATCATGCATATAATTATCGAAAGTTTTTTTTATTCTTTATCAAATATCACCCGACTCAGCAATCCCCGAATTATGTAAGCTCAGTTTAACGGCACGTTATTTCCTCATGAAAATTGGATGAAATCAAATCAACTAAGGGGTTGTTGGTGTACCCCCTAAATCCAAGTGAAATAAAAATTGCGAAGAACTAATTTGATTAGGGTAATACTTTCGGTTGCATGATGTATATATTTGTATATGTACGCTATAATTCCCATACAGCACCGAAAGATTGCAAAAACATTGTATAGACTTAACATTGAAACATTGTAATATTGAAATATATATGGAAGTTGTGAAATGTTTCTGCAACATTATTGCAAGCTTGTAGCAACGTTGAAATGTCCGCCCTTAGAAATATTACAAGGTAAGTTTGTAATAATGTTACGCTGCAACGTATTTCTGATGTTAAAACGCATTTTGCTCCGACCCATACGGCACAGAAATATTGCAGCAACATTGCAGAAATATTTCTTTGCAATATTGCAGAAATATTGCAAAATGTTGCTGCAACGTTGCTGTAATATTGTAGCAACGTTAAAATGTCCGCTTGTAGAAATATTGCAATGCAATATTGCAGCAATGTTACGGTGCAACGTATTTGTAATATTAAAACGCGTTTTGCTACAAATGCAGACACCGTTTCAAATTTAATAAATAAACTTTGAAAATATAAAAAAATGTTTAAGAAAGATAGGAAAAAAAATGCCTTTAAAAAAACATCTATTAGCATTTTTATTAGATGTTTCTTAAATATCTCAATAATATTACATACAATTATTTTACATACATTCGACACCAGAATATTTTATAATACGCGCAATAAATGAATTATTTCCTATTTACCCATTCAATTAAGAAAAATCTGTTTAATATTCTGAAACCCAATGAAGGATCCAGATTATTAAACAAATTATTTGTTTAATAATCTAGATCTCTCATTAGGATTCAGAATATTAAATAAATCAAGTCAGTTTATCGCCAGAAACTGATACAAGACAAGAAATATGATTACTACAATTAATCCTTTGTAGACCTTATAACCATCTTAGATGAATTCGAATACGAGTTAGTTAAATTGGGTGTCGTCGCGTAGCGGCAAGTAAAGAAACACATGTTATACATTTTCGCTATGTTGAAACGTTGCTGCAACATTGCCAAAGTAATATTACAAAATAATGTCTCGGCATTATTTCTGCAACATTACACTTCTATGTGCAATGTTGTAACATTGCAGCAATGTTGATGCAAGCTTCTGTGCTATATGGGTGTAAGCTTCTGCGCTGTATGAGAACGCCATGTAGTTTTGCGAAGGCGAGGAAGAGGAAAAAAAGCGGCTAGTTGAGATTCATAATAACCGGAAGCGCGTTGCGGTGGCGTCGTTATTTAAATTAGCCGCGCTATTCATTAAACAGTTAATTATAGCTAATTGCGCGCTGCGCGGTATGTTTTTTTTTTTACGCGTAAAATATTTGAATTGCGGCTTTAGCGATGGATGTAAACCGTAAACAGTTACCTCGGCTACGATCTTAATACGCGCATACTTTCGGAGCCGAGCATTCCTTTCCGCTTTTCGCGTTCGCGGCGAGAAGAGAACGTTCGTTCTTTCCCCTTAGTTTTTCTCTTTTCTTTTTTTTTTAGGCGATGTCCCGTATAAACCGTGTGTTAGCGGTGAGCCCGAAGTCCAATGCGTGTCTCTGGATGGTTCTGAGGATTTTCTCATAATTGCCTGCGACGGACTGTGGGACTACGTGGACGAGAGAACCGCGGCGCTTCGTGTTTATCGTCAGGTGTTGCAGAATCCACGTAAGTATTTTTCTTTCCTTTTCATTATCAGTAACCAGTGTTTGCTGTAGATAATTTCAAAATTATCTAGATGAAGATAAAGATAAAAATCCGTAAATTTATCTTAGATGAGATGAAGATGATTTTACTTAATTTAGATGAAAGATGAGATAATTATTGCGATAATCTAGATAATTATCTATAGTAGATATTTTTGTTTATTTTAGAAGACTATATATATTTGTAGAAAATGTAACGCCGATTATAAATGGGATATTAAAATTATAAACACATATTCTTTCTCTTTTCCTAAAGAATATTTAAATAATAGTAAAAAGATATATAAATGATATGATAAATATTTATTTATTAATTTATATCTATAATATATTTATAATATATTAATAATACAATAATAATATATTTATAATATATTAATAATAATAATATAAAAAATATATTTTAGATATTTTAGATAGATTTTTAGAAGCTTTCCTGGAAAACTTTTTTGCATAATGAAAACGTCATCTTAGACAATTTTTAGATAAGATGACATATATTTTTCATCTAAGATAAAAATAAAGATACTTTGTATTTCTTCATCTAATTAAAGATAAAGATGATCCATTTCTTTATCTAGATGATTATCTAGATAATTTTATCTAGATACCAGCAAACACTGTCAGTAACACACGCGTAATCATAATAACCTTTGCTGCACACTGAAAAATAAAATTGAATAAATATTTTCAACTATTACTTCAATTATTACTTGTTTTGCAATTGAAATATTTATGTATTTCAATACGACATATTAAATTTAAGATGATATATAAATACTTAAATATTTCAATTAAAAAAATAATAATTAGTTGAAAATATTTAGTCAAGTTTGCAATTTTTTATCAACACAAGCGATAATAAAATCATGAAATTGATATATTCAATCTTTGAATTATGATCTTTATCTCTTGTTCTGATAATTATTGACAATATCATGTGCGAATATAATAATTTTATATGAAAAAATTAGTGGAAAATATAAGATAGATTTTGTTTCATATAATAAGACTCTGTTTTCGCGAAAATTGATTGAATTTTGGAAAATTAAAGATATATTTTTTAAACATATCTAATGACCTATATTACATGTCATTGTTTTTTTTGTCGACAGCAACTGCTAATGCATAAATATAAAAATTTCAACAATACTTTATTTAGTAAAACAATAATTTTAATAAATAATAAAGAATTTGAATTATTAAAAAAAAATGTGTATAAAGTATCCAGATAAATTTTACACATATTTTTCAATACAACAAATACGTGCATATATCTTTTCATACATATTTTAAAGCTATTGTTACAATAAATTTGAATTAATATATAACATGAGATTTTTTCGTCAGAAGTCATTCGAGTTTAAAAAGAGCGTATCTTTTTCACTTTTTAAAATCAATTTTCTCGAAAATAAATTCTCGTATGAAAAAAATTTATTTTACATTTTCATTTATAGTTTTTTTATATAGAATCACTTTTCTATTATACCAATTGTAAAAAAAAAATATATATATATATATATATGGTATGTTATATAAATAATTTTTTTTTATACTGATGACACGATAAGACACAAATTGTAATAATTTTTAATTTAATTTTCAATTTGTAAAATTGCGGAAAAAATTCATGAGAGATATGATTCCATACAAAGGGAAATTTTTATTAAGTAGCAAAAAAAAATTGATCTAATATTGTCGCTTAATGAATACAGGAAATTCAGGTCGAATTATTTCCATTATCATAAATACGACGATATTCGAGAAGTTAGGAGAAACGATGTAGTTTCATCGAGGAATATGCGCTAGAAAAGACGAATCTCTTTCTAATCTAGTCGCTCTCCTCTTCAGCATTTACTTGTAATGCTCTGCTTCTCTGATTTCCGGAATGAACGCGACATAAAATTTATAATAGCATTTTGCGACGCGTTCCTCCGTCGATCGATCAACGATGTTTTTGGCAAAAAACGCATTACGTAAGACGACTTCAATAAATCGATTATTTAGGTGAACTATGTATTTGGTGGCCGATTCGTTTCTCGTAGATTGAGCTACTTTTTTACAAAGAGAGAAGGAACAGCTGAAGCAGCAGGTGAGCGAGAAATTATCACAATTTGGTGCAGATGCACATGACTATGACGAAAGATATTTTTATACTTTCATCGAAGAAGTAGAGAAATGATGACAAATTTTCTCGCGTTTAAACAATATCAATAATTATAAAAACAGACTAAACTTTTATTGTTAGTTGTTGATCTTTTAATAAAAAAAAATCTTAATTAAATTAAATAATTATCTAGAACTTCTATATTATAATAAATTATTTTAATGTAGAATTAATATATAGATTAATTTCTTTAAGATAAGATTTATTTATTGCTAATTATGAACAATAAGTAATATTCTATTTTACATATTCAGTAGACATAATTTTTATTATATTTTACAATTAGCACTCTAGAAGCACTGTTGAAATGCTGTTTGATATCTTAATATAATGCAATTATTATAAATAATCTTGTCATTCTCAACATAATTTTGTTTATATACCATAATTATCAGACATCATAACATCAATTTCGCGAAAAAATATTTTTGAAAATATAGGCAAACAATTCTAACTCATGCAATAAAATCTCGATCGATTATATATCATATTTTATCGTATTAATATCATATTTTTTAATTTTTAATAGAATAATTATTCATTTAAAAAGAATTATTAATTATTTTTTGTAATGTAGGAACTAATTAAAATAATTGTTTTATTAAAATAACCAATCTCACAATTATTAAATAATAATTAAAAATTTATCTAACAAAATAAACAGTATCTCTCTTCCGGTCGCTTATTTCTTAGACTGTAATGACGAGAAAAGAAAATTTTTTACAATATCGGTAAGTTAATATGACGTTTTATAATTGAAACAAGAAAAAAAGTCGATTATATTAATGGAATAAAAGTCGATTATATTAATGGAATAAAATTCGATTATATTAATGGAATAAAAGATTATATTAATGAAATAAAAAGTAAAAATGGAATAAAATCGCAAGGTTCAAAAATGGATTTTGTGTTGAAGATTTTTCGGTAATTCGAAAAATTTTGGTCAATATTTAACAAAAAATGTTTGCATACTAGAAAAGTTATGATTTCCAAATAAATCAAATGATAGTATCGAATCAATGTGCATCGGAAATATACATATCAAATATTCCAGACTGACATACATTATTTCAATTTTTCGAATCGATTTCACGATGTCGAGATACTTTAACCTTTTCATACCTTCAGCTTTTCCAAAAGAGATGTGTTTTATATGAAGATAGTTTTATAGATTTTTGGGGATACTGATTCCAAATTTACATTCAAAATTTAAATTCAAAATGGCAGATTCAAGATGGTGATTATGAAAAGCTTAAATATCAATATATTTAAAATATGAGTTTAGATTTTATTTTTCAAAATTTATATTATGTTTTTTCCTGAATACGCGCGCGCGCGCCCACACACACACACACACACACACACATGTTCGATTCGTAGCATTGTTATACACTTCTTTTTGGAAGCCGCGCATCTGCCGCGAGACTTGGATGCCCATCGCGTTATCTTACTTTGATTACATATAGAAAATATTATAATATTTATTATAATAAAGTTGTAATCACATTTAAATAAAACTTTAAGTTTATAATTAGCGCATTCTATGATTTTTCGATTAATGTGCGATTAAACTTTATTCTCTATAAGTTTGATTTTTCAAAGTTTAGATAATTATATTTTATTGTAACATTACATTTCAAAGTAGTGCGATTTTTTAAATGTAGCTTGAACTTTCTTCTTTAAAACAAGCTAAGGTCAATGGTAAAAGTCGATAGGATTATTTGTTTAAAAATTATGATTTTTTTCGTAGGTGGGACATATATGTTCCGGAGGTACGAAAGGGTTAATAATATTTAGCTATAAAATTATTATATATTAATTAAAAGGATATTTTGATTTGAAAAGATGAATAGGAAAATTTTGATTTTATTTAAATAGAAAGAAATAACATATAATTGCTTTTTTAACTGTAATTAATGTATAATTACCAACTTAAGGGATATATTTATTAACACAATATAATAACATTTTTTTAAAATTTCGATAGAAAAAATGACAATTTTATAAGTTATTCCATATGTTTAGTTCGGCAAAATAAAATATTTTATCTTTACCTAACCTGCGCTGGCTCTCATTGCCTTGATTATTTTTATTTAATTTAAAATATTTTATGTTTGATGGTGCCCATGATTAGGTCCTTTGTGTTCACATAATTAACAAAAAGGATTTTTTTATAATCAGGAAAGTTGTCCTATAGGTCCTGCTATAGGTCCAAAATTATTTTTAAAAAACTCACGTAAAAAAATGGCGACTTCCCAAAGAACAAATTTAATTTTTCTGCTTTAAGAGGCTAAATAGAAATTTTTGATGGATTTTGGATAATTCTAGTTTGGGCTATATAGAGGATTTTATTACGAATCAAATGAGTTCTTAAATAAAATTGATTGATTAGCTTTTGAGATATTATTTGTCACTAATTTGAAAAATGTAAATTTTCAAAAAAACGCACTTAAATTTAAAATGTGTAAAAAAATGAATTTTTCGACCCGAAGCATAGGAATACCTTCTTAAACAAACTTATCTAATAAAAGAAGAATTATTTCCCTTTAAATCGTTTCCTTGCCATGCACCGACTGCACCGTCTCGTGTGATTTTCTTTTTTCTTTTTACGGTATTGAAGAGAGATCTACCGGACGTGTAACGCGGATCCGTATACTTCTTCTTGGCCTCTTCCTTCGTCCTCGGACGAGCGAAGTCGATGCCTGGCGGCTCTTTCGATCATTCGCTCGCTTGTCATTCGTTTGCACGGTCGGTCGTCTTCTCTTTCGTCGTCGGGAGTTTTTCCTTCGATTGAT